TCATCCTGTTCGGGGTCATTTTCGACCAATTGAAGGGACCCCAATGAGACAAGCTGGCCTGGAATTGATGCAGATGTGGTCCGTCTTCTCCGTCTCTCAGGATTTGATGCTGAGGAGACAAAATGCAAATAAAACACACACACAAAAAAAAAAAAAAAAAAAGTCATACTTACAGGTCATAGAGCAAGGTTGGCTACAGTCCAAGTCTTCTGTGCAGATTTCCACCCAACAGTAGAAGTACATCTAAAATGAGAGATTATTTCCAGCTATCACTGTAGACATACACACTTCCAGCTTCATTACCACTGCAATGTAAAACGTTAAATACATTTATTGCAGTAGCCTTATATCACTAAAACATTAATTTATTTGGTGGGGATTGAATTAGATTAGGTCAGCAGTGATATTTCCAGTTTTGTCAAATTCCACAATTTTAATCATTTGGAATACAACACAGCTTGACATGCATGCCAACTTCTTATAGCCACCAACATCTAGGCTGGATGGAGACCCATGTTTACATTACCACCAAACAAAGTTGACAGGATGGAAAAGATGGTAATTGAAAAAAAAAATCCACAGAGCTTACCATTAAAGAACAGCATCCTAGACACCATGTTTCTAATCAGTATATGCTGGCTGCATGCTAAGCTCTTTGGGAGGCACACTATATATACTGAAATGTACACTAGAAATGTGTTAAATTTTCAGAGATTAAAAAAAGAAAAGTTCAGACCGCACGCAGCAGAAGCAGCAAAAACGCGTGCGCTGCTTCATATTTGATGATTGTACAACTTTTTTGCCTGTAACAATGGGAGCTATGTTTGCGGTTATAAGCGGGTAAAAAGTAGTTTTAACATTTTTAAGAGAGAAAGTCCACCTGAAAACTTCATCTGTGCCGTCATTAACATTACGATTCTGCCTTCAAATATTATTTCCCTGTCGGCCTCTGGCCCGGCCGCCTCTTCACGGTTCTCCGCTTCTGTTCATGGTGGCTGGAAGCGTTTTTCACATACGTAATCCAAACTGCAGGCACCAGAATAATAAAAGCAAACAAATTTTGCCAGCAGGTTTCGACATTTTACATTAATTTAGGCATCAAACTGTTTCAAAGGAGTGATCATAGCATTCTGCATCAGCAGAGCTGTGTCTGTCTCCCTGCCAGCTCCCAGGTCAGCTTCACTGATTGGTTGATGTGACGCTTTGGGCAGCAAATGTTCATTTTTTCCAACTCCAGCAGCTGTTGCTTCTGAAGCGCGTGATGTGCTTCAGATGCTCAGAAGCTAGTGAGACGTTGCTTCGGCTGCTCAGACAGCTGCTCCTGCTGCTTAAAACGCACTGCTGGACCTTTTGCTGCACCTTCATGCTGGTCAACCAGTTACTTTGCATGTAAACTAGCTGCTTGTGTTCTGAACATAGCATAGTCATTAAATATGGTGCTGAATATGCGTTGCTGTTACTTCCAAAGACTCTGGGAATTTGTTTTAAACAAAACAATCTGATTTACTTGAGCAATGGGAGTAAGCACAACAGAGACTTAATTAGGAGCGGGTTGAATCAGAATAAAAAAAAATGTTTTCACCAGAAAATCTCCCAACACCAGGATAAAACAAATGATGCAAATCATTCATCTACCCAATTAGGTGTAGGATCTAATTAAGGGGAATAATAGATTTTTTTGTAATCTAAAAGTTGAGTTTGATTCCAGTTTTCCCCTGTTTTATAATTATTTTCCCCAATGGGCAAGGCACTTAATTACAAGTTGCCTCCCGGCCTGCATATCAGCTCAGTGAGTGCAACTTGTAGTTTGCAATTGTAGTACAGTAAATAAAGCATTTTGAAGGTCAGAGTGGCTAGAAAGGGGTCAAAATAATTCAATCTATAAACCATTTCACATTGCAGACATATTTAAAAAGGGTGTCAATATTTGTGTGCAGAACTTCAAATAAATTTTGGTAAGGTTACCTTTTCCGCACTCCGTTTGCCAGTACTAGGATCCAAGAAGGCAAACGTCTTCACATCAAACCTCCTTACTAGGGAGTGAGTTTTGTTGTTTTGCAGTTGGTCCAAAGGGACAGAGCTTCTCCTCTTGTCTAGAGGGTTAGGACATCTGACCAGGAAAACTGTAATCATTCCATTTTCACATTCCAACATGTTCCTAGGGTTGGTCCATGGTAGAGTCACCACTCACCCGTCATGGAGGAGGGTCCACACCGAATGCTTAGAGACAGGGTAGGCGAAGCAGTCAAGTACCCGCAGCGAGAGTGTAGGATCAGAGAATGGAGGAACGATGGAAATCTCCACATTAACCTTTTCACCCAGAGGTAGTTTTAGGGGAAGCTGGTCCTCGGGAACAAAGGCAGTAAAGGTTGCATCTGGAGGGGAACCAGAGTAGGTCAGGACGAAGGGGGTGTCGAGCCATCAGAGCCAACAAAAGTAATTCCTGTACCTGTTGCTAATCTCATCTGCGCCCTGATTGTTCCTTTTGCAACAACAGCAGGCGGATTGGTCACTGCATACAGAGACCTCAACTCTTTTGCAAGCTTGAAATCTGATTCTTCATATACACACTCCACCTGAAGACTAAAACACTTAAAATATTACATAATTAACACCATCAGAAATAATTACATAAAAGTGTTAAATCGTACCTGAAAGGTGAACGTCTCTTTCTTTTTGTCTTGAGCTCCACCACTTCAACCTCATAGGTCACCAGATCTCCAACTTTCTAGAATCATGGCAAATGATTCAGTCTTCAGAAAGACTATACATGTGGGGATTTTATCCTTTTTTCCCTTAAAGCATTCATTTTCAATTCCTATCAGAAATATTCAAGTGCATGTAGATCTGGACTTTGACTGGGACATTCTGTCACATGCATGTTTGTTTTCCCGTGTAATTCATTCCATTGTAGATCTGCCTGTTCAGGGGGGGGGGGTCGCTGTATTGTGTCCCACAGACACAATGTTGCCAACACCATATAATACAAAAAAGGCACGGTTTGTCCAGAATTATGTGCATTGTTACTTTTCAGTCACATGAATGCCAAATGTATTTTCATCTCCCAAGGCAACTGATGGCAGTCAGTCTTTGCAAATAATTTGCAAAGATTTGTACGATGGAAAATCAACAACAGATAAAATACTTCAAGGATGTGCTTTTGTTAAACAACCTCTAAATATGAGGAGAGTCCAGAGGTATCTTTGCAAAGCAATGTATTGCAGATTGGAAATAACTCTAGTCTAGGCAGAGCAGAAATCCTTAAATGATTTAAGGTAGAGGTGTTATGACGTACCTTTATCTTTGCACCACAGTCTGTGACTCCCATCTTAAATAAAGCAGTATCTGAAGTGGAGACTACAGGCAAACAGTGAGGCTGATCTTTGATTACCAAGCTGCTTGGATCTATTGGTGGGTCGGTGTCTGTGGCCTTGACTGTGAACACAAAGTGTCCATCCAGAGAGCAGGCTGAGCAAAATCACAACACAGGAGAATATGGTTGGTTTGATACATGCCAGATTTGGAGGGGTGGGCCTTGTGTAAACATGTCATCTCTTAGCTCTATTACAGTAAAGATAAATGGTTTTCTTACCATTAAGCCTGTAGTAGCAGGCAGAAGCATCAGCATCATAGCAGCATCCCAGTTTAACACAAGCCATGCTGGTGATGCTTCGGTGGCCACAATCTATGCGCAAGGAATTTTTATCGGCGTCGCAATCACCAAAGGAAGCTCGAGCAGAATCAGGTTTTAATGATCTGACCCCAAAAGGCAATAGGTCCTGGAAATGTTGTCCTGAAGGCTCCGTCATTCAGTTTGCAAAGGAGAAATAAATATCCATGAAATACTGTTACGATGCCAAAATCCTGCTAAAGCTTAGACCAGAGGTCACTCACGTGTTGGCTGATTCATCTGACTGCTTCTTTTTATTAGAGGGCAGCTGATATTTACTCTAATCCACTGGTTCCCTCCAGTCAGCTGGACCAGCAGAGGGACAACCACTTTATAGCCCTGCAGAAAGGGAAAGACAGAGTAAGATGATTTATATTTCATAGTTTTTATTATCTTATTTTTTTACCTCTATCCTTGCATAGCAGCTTTCGTATCTAATGAAAACCGACAGGTTCTGGTTCTTCTCTTTCCTAACTCTGATTCCACAGGACCCATTTTGAAGTAAAGGGGCTGAAGCACCTGTCAAATCTAAACAACAAACCACACACAAAGAAAATCATGACTTTCTGATATTTTACCAATTATATGGAAACTTTCAAATATTACTGAAGACATGACTTCACCTCTTACATGCAGGTTATTTTTGACCAATGGACCGAAGACTGCTTTAATCCTACGGCTGGAGCAGGTGACTGTAGGTGAAGCCAGCTGCGGCCTTTGCTTCCTCTGAATGAGGGTAAGGCAGAAACAGCTCTGCGCCATTAAAATTAAAACTAAAGAAGCCAGTATAGTTCTCTCTGAGAAGTACATCATTTCTTTTTTTCCACTCCAAAGTAACCCAAAACTTTGTATGGCACTTAAGGTGAAGGTGGTCATGGGACACCTGCTAATTAGTGTTAATTAGTCTTAAGTGAACGCCCTCCTCAATTAGAGGAGCAAAGAGAATTGGACAAATGAGAAGAACAGAAAGGAACAGGAGAGAAAAGATAATCATTTCACGACTTAGAATAGGACACACAGGATTGAATAGGTCATTATTTTTAATATGGAAACATCAGACAGGGAAATGTGACTGTGAGCAAGATGAGACGGTGTTACATGTTATTTGAGTTGTAGGAAATATTTGATTCAGATAAATTAATTAAGTTAATTAGGAAACGTAGTAATATGAAAATGAAACATGACATTGTTGATTTACTGCAAAAGAAATCAGGAAGCAGAGGATATCAGGCTATATTTGAGTTTTTGAAACAGATTACCTAAATTGTATAACAGGATAAGTTTTTTGCCATGTGGTTCACAGTCCTTACCAGTTGGTGGCGGTAATGCTCACCTAACGTTTTTGCCAACCGCCATAAAAAAGCTCAAGAAGAAGAAATAAAGAAGAAATAAGATTAATGTTTCATTTTCAGAGGCATTTATCTGATACACTTCCACCCTTTCAGCATAGCTAATAATTCTCAAATGTATCTTAATTAAAGAGGAGACATTATAAAAGACGGAAGTTTATGGTTAAAAGTTTTCATCCGGCGCTGTAACTGGCGAACATTATACCACTGAGTTAAATACCCCTCTTTGGCTAATACATGTTTAAACTCTTCATTTCCAAAAGTTGACCGTGAAATAAAAAGTCTTGTTTATGAAAAATAAAAACTTCCAGAATCAGGTCACGAGTTCTAGGTGCTGTGGGGACGTAAGACTGCGTCATTCGTGGACCATCCCTCCGTGACGGTACCAGGCTTTAGGATAACCACAGGCAACAGGAGAAGTTCCACACAGCTCCTGAACATGGCTCTAAATCGGAATCATTCTCAAAACGGAGGAGTTTTGATAAACAACGGAGAAACGTACGTGTTTTCCAGCGTTTAGTTTGTGTTTATGTAATAAACTAGGCCGCTGTCGTCTCTCCATTTAGCTTGTTTACGTTCCAGTGCGTAACGCTAGCTCACGGGCTAACATTAGCAAAGCTATCCTGATTGACCGTTGCTTTTATTATTATTATCATTTTTTATTCCTGTAACCCGCACTTTAATGACAGTTTATGGCACAAATAGAAATGTTGAATGCTTTTTACCCTTGTGGTGCTTTGAAATAGCTTCTGCTTTCGGCTAACTTTGTTTCGTTAATCGTCATAACAGGAAGTAATGGATTATTTACCCATGTTGACATTTTTGTTACAGCAAAAGCAACGCATTACGCATTAATTTTACATAAGCTAATGTTACAAAATACCATTCTTGCCGAAAATTGGATTTTCTGTCATTGTCACAGCTTGGGCCTTGTTTTTTTTTTTTTTTTTAGTTCGAGTTAATCTCTAGAATTGACCACCATGGAAAAACCCAACTATTATTCAGGCATAATAGTCCAGAAATTGACCCGATTCACCACTATTAAAATGCTTATACTGAAACCAGATTACCAGATCTAATAAAGCACTGATGTAGAGCAAGATTAAGGCGAAACATTTACTTAGATGTACTATTTAACTAATTGAAAGTGTATTTTTCTGTGATTAAACTCTGATCTCTGATAGGTTGGCCTTGTTCATTAAATGTTTCAAGACTAAAAACTCCTCCTATATTTAATTTGAAACCAACTTTCGGCTAACTTTGTTTCGTTAATCGTCATAACAAAAAGTAATGGATTATTTACCCATGTTGACATTTTTTGACCATGGAAAAACCCAACTTTTATTTAGGTATAATAGTCCAGAAATTGACCCGATTCACCACTATTGAAATGCGAATACTGAAACCAGAATACCAGATCTAATTAAGCACTGATGGAGAAAAAGATTAAGACGAAAAATTAACTTAGATGTACTATTTTACTAATTGAAAGTGTGTTTTCCTGTGATTAATCTCTGTTCTCTGATTAGTTGGTCTAATACTTAGAGGTGGATTTGTTTTTTCTCTTGTTCATTAAATGTTTCAAGACTAAAAACTCCTCCTATATTTAATTTGAAACCAACTTTCGGCTAACTTTGTTTTGTTAATCGTCATAACAAAAAGTAATGGATTATTTACCCATGTTGACATTTTTTGACCATGGAAAAACCCAACTATTATTTAGGTATAATAGTCCAGAAATTGACCTGATTCACCACTATTGAAATGCTTATTTTCCTGTGATTAAACTCTGATCTCTGATTGGTTGATCTAATACTTAGAGGTGGATTTGTTTTTTCTCTTGTTCATTAAATGTGTCAAGACTAAAAACACCCCCTATATTTAATTTGAAACCAAACAGTATATAGCACTTTTCATAGTATTATTTTTGACCAGAAATGTTATAACAGATCTCATAAAGTGTGTCATCTTGCAATGCATTACTTTTCCTGTTGCATTCAAAACCACTAGAGAGCTTCCTGCTTACTTAAAAAAAACTATTTTGTTGAACAAGGGTCACCAATGAGGTGCCTGTGGGCACCAAGTGGCCCCAAGGACCTTAGCATCTTCTGAAAACAAAACAACTCACCTTTTGGCTAAGTTTGGAAATTGATTTTTATTCTATTGCCCTTTCTTTTCAATAATTTATCTAGCATGTATACAGATTTCAAAAAGATAATATTTAAAACAATAAAATAAAAACATGTTTATTATGTAAGAAGTATAGATGAACACTGACCTCTCTAGTTCATAGGTCAGCATTCTCAGCCTTAAAAAGGTTGGTGATGCCTGTTTTAGACCTTTTAGGTTTCAGTAAGTGGTTTACAAAACTATGCTATTAGAAAAAGTTTATTTTCATCTAAGTAGAAGGTTCACAAAATAAACTTCTTATTTTCTGCAATTGTTTATTTTTTATACAGTTATAATTTTATTGTTTTTCTTATCATGTTTTTTCATGCATTGTGTGTTTTCTTTTTGGTTGTTGGGTTTTTGGAAACACTATCAAGCCTGGTTGTAGCTGTTATCCATTTCCAACGTTCTATAAGACCTGATTCCGTTTTTGAATTTTTTTCCCCAAAGCCTGGAGGAGAAAATATGTTCTGCAAGATGCTTAATCAACGATGGATGATCTTTTCTTGTATTTATTGGGGGGAAAAAAAAAGATACTTGGACATCTCTGAATGCTAGTTTAGTTATTTTTTTTGTCTAATAATTAACACTATAAATGATCAAAAGATCAAATAGTTTCCTAAAGTTTCAATGATCCAATGTACTTGGATTGTCTGACAAGTAAAGCCTTTGTTTTCTAACATTACATCAGTTTGGGTGTAATTTGATGGCTGTGGATTTTTCACAAATTAGTTTCTTAATGCAAATTATTTATTCTGTATTAGCCCATAAGATAAGAACGCAATTGTCTTCTGTTCTACAGTTGATAAAACAAAGATGACGCAAACTATAGATCTTAACTTGGTCTTCCTCAACACTAAGCATGTGAAACATTACTTCTGATTGGCTAATCTCAGGGCAGTCAGTTTGTGATGTCATGCTAAAGATGCCAAAGATAACGGAGTTTGATGGAGTTAAAAACTTGTTCTGCTGCTCAACTGTCTTTTTGCTAATGTTTGAATGCTTGCAAAACGTTGACGGATCAGTCTAATCAATGAAGTCAACAGCTGGAGTCATACTACATTACATTATGCAGGTTTTTAAGGCTAAATTGGTTCTGCAGCTGACTCCATCTAAGCCACTGTGTTTGACAATCTCTTCAGCTAGCAAGAGCGAAAAACAAGGATGCAAACCTTCTTGTTTTTCTTTTTTGTTAATTTTTTCTTTATTTGTTTGCTTAGTGTCTTAAGGCAATGTAAGAATGTGGAGCTATCATTCAGTGATGTCGCCTGCAAGACTGATCTGCTGAAGGGGACCAAGAAAGGCACCATTTATCTAACACCATACAGGGTAACTCAGTTTGTACAATTAAGATATTTTAGATGCTGCTTTGGTCTTCTTGCATAACTTTTTCTTTTTGTTATTTTCCCTTCATTCACCTTTTCAGTTGGTGTTCGTGTCCAGTAACAACAAGGACTGCTTAGGCTCAGCCATGTTCCCCTATTATCTGATGAAGGGCTGCAGCATTGAGCAGCCAGTGTTTGGAGCCAACTACATTAAAGGCACCGTGACGGCTGAGGCAGGCGGTAGGTGTCCATATCATATGAGCGGATCTGTATGTGTTGAATTTAAGAGAAAATAAGGAATCTAATTCTATAACTTGCTGTTTGTTTAGGTGGCTGGGAAGGTCAGGCTCATTTCAAGATGTCGTTTCCCAGCGGAGGAGCCATTGAGGTGGGACAGCATCTTTTCAAACTGGCGACAAATGGTTTGTATTCAAGTTTTTGGCTGTACTTTAAATTGTATGATATAAAAGGGAAGCAAGCATAATTACTTTTACCCTCAAACAAACACAAAATAAAGTTACTTTTAACTATTCTTTTGAAGTAACCAGGATAATCCTATTGGCCGCTATATGTGTGATAACAAACCCCCTTCCTCCTTTATGCTGCAGCATCTCGTGCTGCTCCGCCCCAGAACGGCGCTCCTGCTTATGGTTACCCTTCACCTGGAATGGTGAATGGGTATGGTCCACCTCCATTTGCTCCTAACGGCTATCCTTACCCACCCCCGCCCCAGCAGAATGGATTCTACCAAGGTCCTCCTCCTACTGCTCCTGGGAATATGGGCTACCCTTATCCAACTGCGGCAGCAGGTCCACATTTTGTCTTCTCTTAATCTTTTACTGTATTTTTCAGTTTTTCTGCTGTTTTATTTTTTTTATCTGTAGCACATTTGCTGAAGGGTATTCATACGTTTAAACTTTTCAAATTTTTGAGAAAAAAAAAAATATTTTAGTATGATTATTGTGATAGACGAGTGAAAAGGACCACATAATAAAATTTAAATCAATAGTGTGAGTATATTGTGTACTTAAGTCTCAAAATTATATATTTTCTTCCTTTTTCTGTTCCAGGAATGTACCCGTCTGGATTAGACTACATGGCTCCACCCCCACCTTACCCTGGGCCACCCCAGAACTATGCTCCCTCTCCTCAGAACTGGAGCGCTCCCCCACCTCCTGCAGGTCTGTTGGTTTCTCTCTCTATCGTGTTCAGCCTGTGTCACTGCACCCGTCAGATCTCATCTGTCTGTTTTTAAGATGAATCATTTTTGAAACAGGACGGTTTAAAGAACTGGGCCGCTAATGTCTAATGCATTGAACATCCTAATTATAAAGGTTAAACAATCCTCACTGGCTCTAGATTCTACGCAAACACTCCCTCCCGTGCATATTGATCCAGTGTGACACGTCTCTATGTTCAGTCGGCCGTTAGCCTATGTTGCTCCTTGGGGAGTGCCGCTTGTTTCCGTCTGGGGGATTTCTTCAGCTGTCATTCAGGATTCATATGCACGCCTTGCTTACAGTCGTTTCTGCTGTGGCGTCTGCACCCTAAGTACGTTCTTCCCTCACGACCGTCTGCGTTAATCTTCTTGTCTTTGTCACATCTCGTTTTATGCACAGGTAACTCAAAGGCGGCTGAAGCAGCAGGCAATGCTTATTATAATCCCAGCAATCCCCACAGTGTCTACATGCCTGCGGTGAGCTTCCTTGCAGTATTCTTCGATAGCTATGTGGTTGTGTCAGCTATACTTTTAAAGAAAGGCACTCAGCTGTGTTTTATTCCCCCTGCAGGAGCGGCCTCCACCGTACGCACCTTATCCCAACTCCCCCGACAAGAAGAAAGACTGAGACTCCGACCATCACCTCTGTGGCATTCCTCTTGCTTCCTACCTGATCCAAATTAGATTCCGAAGCGATCAATGTTGATGGAAAACTGCTTGGTTGATTTACAAAGTGAAGGATATTGGCACAGAGCTCAAAGATGTCAGTAATTCTTTTAACATACAATGAGTGATATTTTTGGAACATCAGTCAGTTAAAATGCAAAAGTGTCTTCAAACCTATGATAATAAATCTTACACTCTCAGCAAGGAAAACTACTATTTTCTGATTGTCTAACACCAAAGCAGTCCTGTTTTTGTAAAATCCGAAGCAGTATAAACACATAAAAATTCCTGGGGAAAACATTCTCCATCTGAACACCATTTTCTCAGCATCTTAGTAAACACTGCGTGCGAATTATTATTTTTATGTTTGTTTTTGTGTGTATAAATATAAAGCAAATATCCGCAATTTTTCTTCAACTAGCAGGAGTGTTTCCTGGCGCTCATTAACTTTAGATTTTAAATAGCTTGATTAATTTGATGCTCTTTTTCCTATAACTAAATATTTCTCTAACATGGTTAAAGTTAAAAATAAGAAGTGCAATGTTTGGGGTTAAAGAGAAAAGTCAGATTTCATATGATATGATGCGTTTATGTGCAATCTGTGATTTTCGATGCAAAGATGAGCTGTGACCAGAACTCCACTCCTTCAGTAATTAACTAGTCTGAGCTGATAGAACCACAGTGAGTTATTCAGACTTATTACTGACATTGATTTTTCAGAATGCGAAGCGTTTGTTGCATATTGAGAGTGGAGGATGTATCTCAATTAGCGTGCAGCAGTTGCAGTTTTATGGATTATTTGCACACAAACATCTTGAGTAGATACTTTACCTTATTTAATCAAATGTCTGTATTTTAATACCTTTTTTGGAGTTCTTCCTTTTTCTGCAGAATTTTGTTTCAGTTTAAAATCTAATAAAGAAGTCACTTATTAAAGCTGATGTTTTCCTGTTTTGTTTAATTCATTGTTTGTATGTCAAAGTTCTCCATTTTTTCTTTTTTGTTTTAGCCCCCCTTGCTTAGAAGCAGCTTGCCACTGCTCAACACAAAACTTTGAACTTCTGAGACTTTATCTTTTTAAAATCCCAATTTATTTTGCTTAATTGTAGACAGAAATCAGAGACCCTAAGCAAATATTCTACAGAAACATCTTTGGTTTTAACTAATACAGAGGAACTATTACACCAGTCAGCTGATATTTCGATACTAGCTTTTTGCCTTTGTGTATTGGCTGTTTGCATGGATGAATCATTGCTGCATTCAATAGCCCTGCCTTGAGATCATGTTGGGTGAATGCATTGGTACACCCCTCACTTTTCTATACATTGTTTTGTTCAATATTTTTATTTTGGGTTAAATTGAGAACATTTGATCGTTCAGTCATTTTATCCTGTAAATGGAGCAAAAACCAATATTAGCTCCAAGAATCAACTTTAAAATATTGGCAGCACATATTGGGAACTGGATAGACTAAAAAAAGTTGTATAGGTCAATCTCTAGTAATGAATAAAAATCTTTTGGCTATGGCCCTATCAACTTGGCACATTAGGTTATTCTTTTGCATATCATTCTATCTTCAATCACCCAACCACTGTCAGATTGGATAGATTTGTAATAACCCTCCCACTATGCCTCTGGCTCTGTTTTGTGTAGCTAACTTGCTAAGTGTTTGAAATCCTTTGCAGCCTTCAGCAGATTTCCCTCCAATGTTCCCACCGTATGATAGATAGATACTTAGTCCACTGTCTTGTGCAATGTCTTTTTTTTTTTCTCCACATGTATTTGCAATATAGGCCCACAATGTAAATGTTGGTTGTTTTCAACACAGCATCCGCTTCCTTAGGTTTGTTATGTCCCCTTCATGGTTTGTGAGAAACGCCTTTAGTTTATTTTCTTGAAGCTCTTTCCTAAAGGCTGGGTTAGGAATACATCTAAAATCCATGGGAGTAACGAATTTTAGTAATACAAAATTAAAAGACAAAAAACAATAAATAGGGACTATTACTGAATGATGCATTTATTATAATGTATTTATTACACAATAAAATATTTTCAAGCCTTAATTAAACGATAGTTTAAGCACAGAACCCTGACAGCCACAGACTTTTCACAGAACAGTTTTTAGAGTTTTATCAGATAGAAATTGGAGTATTTCATGCAGTAAAACAAAAGGTCTTCACTGAACACAGATACCTTTTAAGATAAACATAGAATATCTAACTTAGCACAAACAAACTTAAATTTCCTCCCAGCTGCACTCCCAGAGATTCATTAGGTCCAAATCTAATCATTCCACTTCATAGATCAACTTTACTGTTTTTTAGAGCCTTTTCATTTTGCAATCATTTCTTACTTTAACTCTTAGTCTTTCTTTTGTTGTCTATTTTTATAGCTGAATATGTGCAAATGGTAGCTCATTGACATGGGAGCTAAACAGGGACTTATTAGCTGTAAAGGCAAATACAATTATCAAGAAAATAGATTATCCACACAACTTCCTGCTTGAGAACTCAAAGCATTTTTAGTTTCCAATAAAAGTTTATTTTTCAATAAACAAGATCATAAAATTTTGGTCACTGAAAATAAATGCTTTTTGATTTTTTTTTCTAGAAGTATGATTTAAAGCAAAAAGAATTGCTTCTCCCTGAATATTTAATCTAACTTAACAATGTGAAAGATATTTTTTTAGAGGATTAATTGTTGGCTGTAACTGATTGTCTTCTCATGGGTCTTCCTGTAGAAACCAGACTTCATTTCTTCGTCCATAAGGCTTGAGCGGTGGGTCGTAGCTGCAGCAGAAGTACTGCTTGCGCTGAAAGGGGGTCGTCTCGCCTAGGGTGCGCATCAGGCGGGAGGCCTCCGCCCGATACTCACTCTCCCCTGCGAAGCCGCCAAACTGTCTGCAAAGCAGAAAAGAAATGGGAAATCTTCAAGCTGCATTATTGTATTCATGCAAGTGAAAAAAATAATTAAGTCCAAACAGATCTGAATGTATGTGATACACATATTTTCTATTAACACTTCTTCTAGTGAGTATTTTGTGTCTCTGTTCTGTGTTATAACTGCAGCACATTGCTGTAGCTGGTGGGTTTTTCAGTCCAATTCACTGTACAGAACAGCTGTGACTCTGGGGTACTGGTGGATTTCCTCAGTTGAACTGCTCCCTTTCTGTCCTTCCACGTCATTTTCCCTTAATGATTAGGGTCAAGACTTTAACTTGGTCTTTTCAAAGCATTCACTTTATCCTCCTGAAGCTTTTTGGTGGCCTCACTTCTTGCACATGGGTTTTTTGTCCCTTTTGTCCGACCCTAATAATCCTACATGGTTGGTAACCATAGCATAGACTGAAAAAAAATAGGAAGAAAATAGCCATCATTATTGTTTAGATTACAACCAATCACCAGTTTGGTCTCTCAAGAAGAAACAATGAGATATGGGATCTAAGGAGGGATCCCTGAAAGCCAGTTAAACAAAGAACCACCTGTAAAAACCAAAATGAAGCATTTAACTGACAGCGCCATATTAACTCATGAAAAATAAGCATCTAGATGCCCTAAACTTATAGGGACACAAACTCTGATATTTCTTTTTAGAATCAACTGATTTACCTCATTTTAGTCCAACAGCTTCAGTCAAAGTCAGCCGTAATAATTTGACTGTCTATGAGCAGAAATGTAGTCATCCAATCCATAACAGCAGGTCAATCTCTAATTCAGCTTACCATGAGAATACCATGTTTTTCTCTTCAGCTCATTGTTCACAGATGGACTTCAGATCTAATCTAAATTTAGAGGAATAATCCAAAGGACAATGGTAAGCCTTTCTACCTTAATCCAGAACTGATGTGGAATTCACAGATCTAAAATTAGATTCATTTTCCTGTCGGTGATGAGAACAAAACACAACATGGAGACCCACATTATGAAAGCTCCACACTCTTCAAAGTCTTCTTTTAGATCACTTCTTAAGACTCACTTTTTCCCCCTGGCTTTTAACAAAAAGTGATCTGTTTGTTTGTATCCCATGAATCCGATCTGTCTTATTTTACCACTATTGTTTATGTTATTTGACTTTCTATAAATTCTCTCATTGATATATACAGAAGTTTGGTCAACAAGTTGTTTTTAAATATGTTTTATAAATAAGTTGGATTGGATTTTTACTGTAGTTGATAATTCTAAGAAAAGTAATCCTGCATAACTGAAATGTAGCTTTTCTTTTAATACTCACAGCTCTAAAGTTGGATTACATTGTCCATTTAATAATGGCCACCTCTCCTGGGTTGTATATAAAATAGAGGAGTCCCATAGCATGACACCATAAAAACAGTTTTTTTCGACGATTCATGGTTCAGAGCCAGATGTTGGTGTTGTTATATCCTCTCTAACATAACCACAAAGGCCCACACTATGAGTCTACCACCCCCATGCTATTTAGAAGGACTCACAGTTTGCTTTGTCCTTCCAACAGATTAGTTGAGCCAAAAGCTTCTGTTTGGTTCCACAAAACATCTTCAAGACAGTCATGTGACTGATTTCTTTGTGCACTTTCTACTGAGCATATCTCTTGCGCGACCTGTACATTTTTTAAATGCACCTTTTGTTCTGTTAGTGTTTGGCATTCACTCCCAATGAACTTTTTTGAATTCTGTATATTTATTTGATATTTTACAAGTCTCCAGGTTAAAAAGAAATTATTTGAATTTTCAGAAGTCTGGGGATATATATTTTTTGTTATTATTATTATTTAGTTTAAAAACAATACCCTTTCTTTACATCTCACTTTATGAAAAAATTATAGCTGGAAGGTTTTATGAAATCTTTGGAGGATATTTCACCTTCAACACTAATTAGCCTGCAGATTAATTCAGTTTATTTACTTACATGTACAATTGATGCTATACATAATATATCAGCTCCTCTATGTTATATTGACCTCTAGTTTCACAAACCTTAAGGTACTGAAATAATGCATCATATATGTGATTTTCTATGGTGTTTTTTTCCAACTGTGTCACTAAATATATTGTGTAGTAAATGTTAGATTTAAAAGCAGTTTAAAGACTACATACAGAGCATATACAGTCATGCCGGGCCGCTCCTCAACCTTGATGGCACTGTCTGTGGGAACTGGAGGCTCCCGCTGGTAGGCGTTGGGGATTCGGATGCCCACCACCAAACGTCGGGAGAAAACGCCATCATTCCGTGGGTACACTGTGATGATGATGGGAAACGCTATCCCCATGGCCTCACCTTTGAACCAAAATATCACAGGGGAAATGGATGAGTGATTTTCCTAAGGTTCAAAGCATTTTTATCTAAAACAGCTTTTTTTTTCCTGTTCTGAATTGACAGAATTATATTTTTAGAAGTAAGAGTGAAGCAAATTTTCAGAGCAATATATATAGGTGGATAAATATATAAAAGATTCTGTTTTTTGTTGCTGCCACGTGGTTCTGACTTTTATGCTGTGGTGAGGTTTTAAAAGGCACTGATAAAGATTCTAGAGGAGGCTTTTAATTTATCGAATCTGAGGGAGTTTTACTCTGAAAATAAACGTTCTATTAAAAGTGTCGTTTTAGAGAGGAACGAATGTCACCTCTAGCTGAATAACTATTTATTCAATTTGGGTAAAACTTATAATCCTCCAAATTTTCTGTGAAGATTACATTGCATGTTGCTCAATCTCTACACTTTAAATGTAAAAATCAGCTTTGTACATTGTGTTTGGTATGCAACAAATCTTGTTTTTAACAACATTCACGGGTGTTTGGTTAAAATAGAATGAGGTTTGGTTGCAAAGGTTGCAATATATCTTTTTTAACCTTGCTCGTTGTTTCCGCCAATGTACATCAGCAGTTTCCGCACCAGCTCTCCGATTACTTGATCATACGTTCTTCCTTCAGAGGAGATGGAAGCGTACTTTGCAGCATCGTACCGTCTCACCTGAAAGCTAACTCCGTTCTGTGGATGAGAGGAAAACAAGACAATTATAATAGACCCAAACAGCCTGTGACATGTTTCCCAAATAGCTGCAGGAAACATTTTGCACATACATGTTAAGTTGTGTCCTTTCTAATGAAATAAGCAGTGAAGCGGTAAAGTTTAGGTATAAATAACTCCTTTCTGAAACACAGAAGATAGAAGCGATCTATTTTCTAAATATAATCTGAAAAAAGAAAACCATGGTGTGCCTTTGCCCTGTTTGTTCTTCTACCCTAAAATATGTGTAGTCAATACTCTTCATAAGTCTTCTAATTACCTCTTGGTAAATGGCTACTCTGCAGGAGGAGGAAATGCCATAAGGTGGGAGAATCTGTTGGCTTGGTTATTATGTTATCAATTCTCTAAAGCTTTAATGGAGTGTCTGTAGGATAGCCTCAATAATTCCTGTTTGCAGTTTGTCATATGCGCTGTAAGAGACAAAGCAAACATGTGGAAGAACATGCTCTGGTCTAAACTGACCAAGACTGAACTTTCCGAAAATGAACTGTTCCTCATTACAAGTGCAGCATCACCATGATGAAACATGGTGGTGGCAGCATCATGTTAGGGGAAAACCTTCCTTCATCAGGGGCAAGGATGATCAGAGTGACGAGATGAATGCAGCTAAATAAAGGACAGTCTGGGAGGAAAACCTGATAGAGGGTGTAGAAGAGTTCAGACGGGTTCTGAGTTTGACCTTCCAACAGGAAATTGTCTTTAAGCACAAAGCCACACATAGAGGAACGGTTTATAAAAAAGCATGTTCACGTATCAGAGTGGCCCAGTCAAAGTCAAAATCAACATCACTTTAAACTGATGTCCAGTCTTACTTAAGTTATTTTCCAGAGGATAGTTGAACAAAATCAGCAGTAGGTGCCCAAAGCTGCTAGAAACCTACAGCAGAAAATGTCAATTTTCAGGTTTATCAAGTTGGGGAAACCAAAATACAAATGCAGACCACACTTTTCAGATTCAGTTTTTTTAAGAATTTGATGCAATGTATCAAAAATGTAGAAGTGTGAATATTTTTGCAAATGTTACACAGAGGTCAAACTCAGATGAACCATATTCGCCCTGATCTGAATATAAGTCTCTGCAGGGTTCAGTGAGCTCCCACAAAACAATGGACCAGATATGTGTGCTCTTACATAACAGTGCAGAGGCATTGAGGCGATATAAAAACAACTTACACAAACATCTGCATTAAAAACTGATGCTTAAGTGGGGTTAATGTGGATCAGAAATAATTTCTCTACCGGCTTCTTATTGTTATCCGGAGTTTTGAGATATTCTACAGTTTGAAACTTGGATTTTAATGGCCAGTTAATGTTTTTAATGCTTTGGAAATAAGCTGCAAGTTGTTACAGTTTATTAACCTGCAGATGATTGTTGCTCGCAGTGTGACACCTGTAACGCACCATGAGAAGAGGAATTATGTTCAAAGCCCAATTTTCACTCTGCTTTTCTATTGGCTTGTGGGCTGTTTGGAATTATTTTCTTCTCCCTTCAGCAACATTAAAAGCTAATATGTTTCTTGCAGATAATGGGATATCTATCCCATAAAATACATTTTCAGTGTTGAATCCTCATTTCAAATCCCAAGGTAATAAATACGCACACACACACACACACACACACACACACACACACACACACACACACACACATACATACATACATACATACATACATATATATTAGCTAATTCCAATTCTTTTTGCCACACAGGATAAATCCCATCGCTATCACAGAGCTTTGGCTTGTGACAGGTACACAGGCTCTTTGCATAGCAATTAAATAGTTAGCACTGTAGAACTTGTCACTGAGGCCGACATTAACATTGTGCGTGGATGGCGAGAAAGCCGGGGCCCTCTTCTGTGCAACAGTGCAATTAATCTGACATGAGCATGCAAGCTGTGTGCCCGTGTGTCTTTATGTTTGATGTGCATTGTAATCAGCCTGTGCCTGAGAAAGTGCTTAGATACAAAAAAAAGTAAATAAAATTAACTAACGACAATAGAGAGTAGAATCCATGACTTTGCTTTTTTGGTTTAAAACAAAATATTGTGCTCAGAAGGGTTTATGCTTAGTTTCACCCTTTTCTTGCTATGAATGTGTGAATCTGCTCCATCTCCTCTGTAGCTGGCAGTTTTAATTAAAAGTGTAAGACAGGTGCTTTATACACTTGAAACCAGATATTGGCAAAGGTTCTATAAAAAGAAACCTTCACTGTATAAAACGGAATTAGACTTTATTTAGGATTACCAAGATAATTTACATTTGCTGTTAACATAATTGGTCAGATATATTCTTTTTCAGTGTCCAAAGCCCCAATCTGACCGTATTTATAATAGCACTTAAGTCCTAGATGCTATAGTCCCAGAGGCCCGAGAACAAGCAGGAGATCAGATCCAAGCAGACAAAGGAAGTCGGAGTAATCAAAAGGGCGAAGCCAAAGCCGGTGTCGAGGATACGCTCAGGATTTAGAACGAGGAGATCGGAAGTCCGAAGAGGTTCAAAAGGGAAATCCAAGTTCAGTAAAACAGGCAGAATCCAGCCAAAGACAGGTCAGGAAAACAGATCAGACGGGAACAGGCAGGCTCAGTGGTTGAGAGGCAGAACAGGTCAGGATCAGGTAATTGGAAACACTAATGTAAGGCTGAACACTCTCACTACCGGCTTGAGAACAATCTGGCACTGATGACTGGAAGCAGGCAGGTTAAATAGAGGTTGGAGCAGGTGACACAAAGGAACGGTGGGCAGATTTAGGCAGATGAACAAAATGAGTAATCCAGCCAGTTATCAGCGCCAAGATCATGACAAGTATTTGTAGACATAGACCGATTGATTGGTCAGCCAACATTTTTTGGTCAATATATGCACGTTTTATTGTATTGGTATAGACTGATGCATGCGTCTGACACAAAGAAAGAGGGTTTTAGCGGCGCTGATGCACCTGTTTTTACTGGGATGTTCTGAGAGGTTCTAATAAAGTCTTAAATAATTCATTATTTTATCATACCAAGGCATGCAGTTCTAAATGAGAACAAATGAATAAAAACTTGCCTAGAAATAACTTTTTGTCATTATTCTAGCATTTCCCATATAAAAAACTTTATTTTTTTTCTTTATTACCGGTATCTTATTATCTATAACAGGAAAATATGTTTTTCAATTCAATTCAATTCAGTTTATTTATATAGCACCAATTCACAACACAAGACATCTTAAGGCACTTTACAGTTCATCCAGATCATACAGTCGAATTGATTCAAAGTTTTTTATCTAAGGAAAACCAGTTGATTGCATCGACTCATTGACTCAAATGCAATCCCTTACAATAATTTTAGAAATTATGTCAAACAAATAATAAAAACATGTATGTGTAATCTGCTCTGTGTAAGTAAATATCTGATTTCCTCTGTAGGACATTGTACCAACGAATGCAATTAAATCAAAGTTTGTCAGATCCTGATATCCTTGATGTTATTTTGTAAGATTAATCACTCATTCATTTATTAGGTAAATAATCAGCAAATAAACTGACCACCATTTGACACCAATGGAGAAAAAACAGCATTGTTTTGGATGCATTGAAGAGCTGTTATTTCCACATTATAAAACAACGGCTGGCTTCAGGAGTCTTTTTTAAATATCTCATTGTCACATGATGTCCGCTTGGCTGTGTCAGAACGGATCTATCCATCAGTGTGTGTGATTGTGCGGTCAGTTTGGGCGGTGTTCTCTTGTGTGGATTGGAAATCCTATTTTATCCTTCCATCTCCCACTCAGAAGTTATCTTTTGTTTGGGAGATACATGAACAAAGAGACTGAAAACACAGCAACACGTGGTACATGCAAAACATCCACAGAGATCTACTGGTGCTTTTCTAAAAATATGCACTAACAGTATACCTGTGAGCAGTTTACGTACTCCCTACATTGAAATGCTGCAAAGTTAGTTTGAGCAATTAAGGAGTTGAATTACATCTGGCTTTGCCGTTAAACATGCCAAGTACTTCTATCAGCCATCTTTACCCCTTCCAAAGTTAGTTTTGAGGATCTTTCTGCAATAGAAAGACCACATTACATCTAGGTTTTCATCATCTGACCCAGAATGTTCAGGAATAATCCAAAAACCTCCAAGACTCAAGATAGACAGATAGGAAGTCATCAAAGAAATCAGCTCTTGTTCCAAAAATCAGCACCTTCAATCCTAACTAACATTTGAATGTACCCAAATAAACAAGGTCAGATGAGACAGGATTGAGCTATTTGGCCCTGACTGGAAAAATGTTTAAGGAAGTCAAGGTAATGCTTTAAACCTCAAAACAATGTACCAGCTGTTAGGGATCATGACAGTAGCGTCATGCTACATTTTTTTCTAAGTTGGTCAGGTAGTCTATACAAACTGGAAAGAGGGTCTAAATTATTTAAAATTGCCTCAAATCAACAGCAAAATTGTTGGAATGTGGATCTACTGTAGTTGTAAGAAAATGTTTCAAAATAGATAATTTAAGTATCTTAAAAGAAGAAACATCTGGTTTAAAGTATAGGATCTAGATGAAAGTGTGTAGTTCTTCCTGATGAGAACAATAAACCAATTGTTGGTAGGATGTTATATGTAGATATAATACATCTAACTTTAGTCTATTAGAGGATTCTGTAAAAACAAATCTGAACCTGTACACCCCCTTTGCTTTTTCTTTTTAAATCTACACCTATGTACTGTAACAAAAAAAAAATGCTGAAATACACCACTGAAGCCACTGAATCATGTTGTACATGAGCCAACTTAAAACAAATCCCACAAACCATGCATAGGTTTAATTCAGCCCTTCCTGAGCAACTAGGTTAACCAAAAACACTAAGACGTATCTCCATCCAAAGTAGGTTAATGTAATGAAGTTATTGAGGGCTGAAATGAAATCACACAAACCCATGAAAACATTACCCCACTGGTCCACTGCACTGACAAAATGCATGCTCTTCACTCTAACCCTAATATCAACAAGGATATTTAACTCTTACAAGATTTATCATTATGAAGAAAAGCCTCCTAACAGCATGACGGTGCCACCACCATGTTTCATAGTTTGAATGGTGTGTTGAGGGAGATGTCCAGGACAAGCTGTTTGTATTTTGACTAAAAAAATGAAGTGATCCAGACGTTATTTAGAAAATAAAAAGGTGGAGTGGATTTTTATGTAAAGCTGCAAAGACATACCCTAAAAGACTTGCAGGGTTTGGGGTTTTGCAGCCTTTACAAGTTTTCTTGCCCAATCATCCTTTAACAATTTAAGTTTATTGATCTCACATTGGAGAAATTTACCTCTGCACAGTGGTGTCAAAAGTACACATGTGTTACTTAAGTAGAAGTATAGATACTGCAGTTTAAAAACACTGGTAAAAGTTGAAGTATCTTGACCTCTTTAATCAAGTAAAAGGTAAAAAGTAGGTGCTCCAAAAACTACTCAAAGTATAAAAGTATAAAGTAAAAAAAACAGCCAGATGCCACTATATGAATTGAAAGCTCAATTTTACGACTATTTCAAAAAAATTATTTGAGATAGGACAAAGGATGAAGGAGGTCTCTTGCCTGTGTCAGACCTTTCAGACATTTCAGCATCTTTTTCTGAATCCGACATTGTAGCATGGCATAGACAATTTACGGTTGCAGTTTGAAGAACACCTGCTTGCTTCTGATGATTTCCTTTAGCTAACCAATGAGTGTTTGCGTTATGACTCATCCAATTACACTAGTTTTCACTAGATGTGGATGGAGCCAATGATCTGCATTGGATGGCGCATATGCCATGAAATAAATATTTATAAGCATTAAACTGAAGCCAAGAGTAACAAGTAACATTTGTTTTAAAAATGTAAGGAATAGAAAGTACAAATACTTGTGTGAAAATGTAAAGTAGAAGTCAGAAGTAGGAAGAAAAATAAGTAATGGAGTAAAGTGTAGATACCCAAAAGTACAGTAGCAAAGTATTTGTACTTGATACTTGACACTCTCTGCATTTAACCCATCCCCTTGGAGAGCAGTGGGCTTCCATGGTGGGGCGCCCTGGGAGCAGTGTGGGGTTAAAGGTCTTGCTCAAAGAGCAAGAGTGGCAATCTGTGGGAGTGGGGCTTGAACTCAGAACCTCAGGATTACATGTCCTAACCCCTAAGCCGCCACTCCCCACTTTATTTATCTCCAGCACCTTCCCATAAGGTCTGACACTGTATTGCCAGAAAAAGTGTGCACACAGCACGATGCTGCCATGCATCACGGTGATGTAGTAAATATAGCATCCCCATATAGCATCCCCCTTGACTCACTCACTCTCCTTTCCATCATTATTCATGCCTGACTTGTTGGCCGGCACAGGACCTCGGGGCTCCTTTCCTTGCTGCTGTGGGTCAGCAGGCATCCTTACAGGTCACAAGCAAATACACTTAAGTTGAGCTTTCTGTCAAGGTTACAAGAGCTGCAAAAGCATTAAATATATATACAAATACTAAATGCATCTCATGTGAAAGTTAGGAATTGGAAAAGGGAATTTTACGCACGTTTCAACGCAATCGAACAGGCGTGAATCTGTGCGTAATAGGCTACTCGAGGAAAACCCAGATGTTTGCTTCAAAAATGCGCACAGCTGGAGCTGCCTCTGCGATGCTTACCTTGGTCTCGCTGCTGAGCACTTTATAATCTGTCTCCTCGGAATTTCCGAAGAGGGAATTTCTGATCATACCAAACATGGTTTCGGACTAATCACCTCTCCTCTCTCCACTCCTTGCGCTTTAAATTTTTTCTCGGCCTGTCTTTCTCTTGCAACTTGCTCCCCGGAGAGAAAACCAGACGCACAGGCACTTGGTCTCTGTGAAGTCCCTAAACAGCTGTTTTCTCCTCCTTTTCGGAGGAAGATGATGCTGAGCGTCCTTTCCTTTAACAAACCAATGACCAAAGCAGCCTCCACACTGTCCCCGCCTTCCGTTCCTCTCCTCCAAGCCTGACGCGCATCTCCACCTAACGTGACTCATTTTCCAACAGTAGATTTCTCTCAGAATAGTCCAAGTTGTGCTGATTTGATTCAAAATAATGAAACAAACACCTCCTCCAGTTCCCTCCTGTTTGAAAGTTACAAAACCTCGATGCCAGTTTGTTCAGCCTTCTTTTTTCCACTGCTGCCTGATTCAGGATGGCAGGATGAGAAGAAGCACAATTGCATATTTATTTATTTGTGCGTAAAATCAAGCGAGACGCCCAGTTTTATTTGCCCCGCCGTGTTTGAGGATGTTATGAGTTTGTACATGTGCGCACATCTTGCTCCCCTTGTGCCACTGCGCGCTGCTTTGCTCCAGGGTTGGTCTATTTTAAATCACTCTGCAGGCAACGTTAGTCACCGCCGCGCATTAAGAGCAAAAAATGCAAAAGGGTAGAGTTATAAACGTGGAGGAAAAAGTGAATTTGACAATGCAGCTCCGGAAACAGAGGTGGTTCCTGCATGAATACAGAGGCGTAGCCAGACATTTTTTAGAAGGGTGGCCAGGTGGCCAGTCTGGTCAGGGTCCTCAGGGTCAATCTATACTAATCTAAACAGGAAAATGAACTAACTATACTTTCCTCCAACCTTTGCTAACAAATAGACACATATTTAAGCATCCTTGCTTCCTAGTTATAAGTCATAGTGGATAAAGTTCTTCCAGGTTTGATTTCCTTTCCATTGTCATTACTCATTCTGCTTAAAATAGAAATTTACTGTCAGGATTTGTTTGTGAATTGTTGACCCAAAAGCAGAGGCAGGAAGGCAGAGGTGAAGTTATAGTAGATTTAATGATGAGTACTGAAAACAAAGTCCAAAAACAAAACAAGAAACCAGGAGTCCAAAAATTCAAAGATCTAAAAAAAAAAACACATGAAAACACAAGTCAAACATTACCAAAAACCATGGAGTCATCAGGGGAATAACTGTAACCAGGAGGAAGGCTCGGAGAGATGAGTTGGAGGTAGACTGAGGAGGTCAAACAAACAAGAACTGAAGAGAGTGGGCATGTAAAGGAGACTGAGACAAAGAGAAGACAAATAAGCAGATTGGGAACAGGTGAGCACAGGGCAGGTGAGGAAAAGAGCAAGGGAAAAAGGAGAACACAAGAGGGCAGCAGAGGGGAACAAATAAAAAACATAGAAAGCTGAAAATAGCCAGAAAACACAACAAAAATAATAATTAAACCACTAAGAATATAAAACATGGAGCAAAGTAAAACTGAAAACTCAAAAGAAAAAAACAAAGCCAAAACTGAAACAGTAAAACCCGAAGAACACAATAAACTAAGAATTAAACAATTAAAAAACTATAAAACAAAGAGCAAAGCAAAACTGAACATCAAAAGAAAAACATTACAGAAACCTAACATTTACAGGTACTCATTTCAGAAAAAAAATAATATACCGGTATATATATATATATTTAAGAAGTTTTTATTAGAATAGTTTTAATTTATCTAGGATTAACTGAAGACTCCTAGATGACTTTCATTTTCTCTTTACCCCATATAACAAAATCTATTTTTAAAAAGAGCATGAATTCTGTACTTATCATCTTTAATGTTAGTATATTAATGTGCATAATTAACTGCAGTGTTTTTGTTGTCAAGTAATTTTTAATGTGTGAAAAATAAAGATTGTTTGGATATTGAGAGTATTACTGCTGCCACTATCTTTATTTTAGGGGGAAAAAATGGTAGGGGTTACCACAGGGGTGGCCAATGATTGGCTAAGGGTGGCCATGGCCACCCCTGGGCCCCATCTGACTCCGCCCCTGCATGAATGGCACCCTGAGTGGGACCATGCTTCTGTAGCCTCAAAAGAAAAACAAAGGAAATAGTGAGAAATTGGTTTACCTGAGAAGTTTGGGTCATGATCTAAATATCCTGATGTCCTTTTTATTAAGATTCAAAAGTCTTATTATCATTAAATTGGCAGTTTTTTTTCCTGAGACATATGTAGGTATAATATGTATACAAAATCAAGAGAAGATGCATCATACAGAAAGCCCATATTCTTATCTTCAGCTACCACAGTATACATGTCAGATTAAATAATACTACTTATACTTCAGTGATAGTATCAAGGTGCTACTTTATTGTATCTCTTATACCATATAAGTTGGTTGTGCTGTTCTTTTTACATCTCTATGCGGGTGATGAAGCAGACTGAAGATTTTTTATCATTGTCTCCCTTTTATCTCCTCTTTCTTTCATGTTTTCTCCTTTTTTTCTGTTCTACGTACATTGCAGTGTCTATAAAATCTGTAATGTTCCCTGCATGAATTATAATAAAGCTATTTATATGCATTAATCAAGCGGAACACCATGGCGATGGCCGTACTGCTTCATTTGAGAAAGCAAAATCTGTTGGGCTCTCTTTTTGGCATCAAGACAATTATTCTTATTGCCACATTGCACAGACGCACTGAGTTAGACTCAATGCACAAGGTGGCCCATCTTCTCTTAGACCTTCAACTACACGTAAACAAAAGAAAACCTACTTTTGGATGTGGGAAACAAAAGGATCCTAACTAAATTAACATCTCTGTTGGATAATGTCTCCCACCCCATGCATGAAGATGCTGCAGAACTGGAGAGCTCCTTCAGTGACAGACTACCTCACCCTAAATGCATCAGGGAGCATTATCACAGATCTATAACCATCAATGTTCCCAACAACCTCAATAAGTTGTTACACTTATGCTGATTTTGCACAGTTTCTATCTTAGTCAGTTAAATAACATACTGCTGTCATTTTGCACATCTCAGATGTTGCTGTTATTTTCAAATATCTATTACTGTAAAAATGTCCATAGCTGTATATTGGTTATTTATTCTCCATGTGCACAGTATTCATATTATTAAAACACTTAACAGGACAGTATTTTATTTGTTTATTTTTTGACTCGTCACTATTATGTTATTCTGATACACTTTTCTAAGGTCCACATTTGTGTGATAATTTTTTTTTCTATAATCCTTTTGTTGCTTTATACACCAGAATTTCCCTATTGTGGGACATAAAGGGATTTTCAATTCTATTCTATTCTCCAAAAATGTGTGTCTTTGAAAACTTTTAAAACAAAAAAATAAACTAATGCCATCTAATTTAGAAAATGTCCCTTTTTGAAAAACAGTCAGATGGATGAACTGTTTGAGCTCCACTTTTAAAGTCTGGCTGTTGATTTTTAAATAGAACGGTTGCAAGCTGCACTTCGATTGCATCATTGCAAAAACATTAATAAGCTCTTCTTCTGGTCCAGTCTCAAATGTTCCTCCAGGATCACCTTTTATGTAGCTTCAGCCATCTTTCAATCAACCAACTTTCTCTCTCCTTCGCAAAGAATAAACATAATAACACAGGTCATTTCTACTAAATTGACATTGGGTCAATTTAGTAGAATGTATTAAAGGGGCAGAGGTGGTCTTCTTGGTTTTTGTTTGTAAGGTTACATCTTAAGAATGTGTAAATCCAGCATAGTTTAGGATCAAAGAAAAACAAAAAAACAGAACGGCCTCACTGAATCTTGAATGTCTCACCACCAATGCAGAGCTTGCTTAGCACCAGCAGCATGATTGCATCACACACAAGATGAAGGAAAAGCTTTCTGACAGTGATACTACATGACAAGAAGGGAGGAAAATATGTCCAAGGAAAACTTTAAGCAAACATTGGATTCTACCAGAAGAACCAAAAGAGAAAGCTTCAGTCTCGTAAAACTGTTTTTTTCCCCTTCCTTTTAGATGAATCCTCCTTACAGATGTGTATATTATTTGGGAAAATAATTTTGTGTGAAGAAACCTATTTTATTTAAAATGTAAATTCAGTTTCTGCGTCCTATTTATTTTAGTAAACCATTTCCAATTTCCTTAGTTACGATTTCTTCTACAGAAATAAACTTGCCTCTTCTAGCTGCCAGGGACTTCCCTTCTCTTAACTCGATTCTTTTTCTGATATTCTGGATTTTCCCTCAGTCAAAGGAACGTAATTTAATCATCTAAGTGGAGTTTTATCTTTTCTATTTTTCCTAAAACATGAAACAAGAAAGTCCTGGATAGTGTATTGTGATGAACAACTATTTTGTTGTCGTCGTGATTTGGAATAACATATATAAGTAAAAAAAAAACAAATAATATTTAGAGAACCTGGAATGGACTTCAATACAAATTCTTCAAATCAGTTTATGATCGTTAACATGTTTATTTCATCAATTCGTCAAGAAAAAGTAAATAAAAAATAGAAAGATCTATTTTCTGGTATAAACCAAACCCACTGTTCACTGAATAGATAGATATAGTAGAAGGAAGCAAAAATCTTTACTTTTTAAAGACCCAATAAGCCCAATTCCAAAGCAAAAACCTAATAAAATAAGAAACAGTTAAAATTAAAAAGGCTCAGTATTCAACCTTAAATTAAAATAGCTGAAAATAAAACAAGAATGAAACTGGAAAAAAAATGTTTTTAGCTAAAAAAATAAAATAAAATGCATATATATATATATATATATTTATTGACATGTGAAATAAAACCTTTGTCTGCACTTATACACGTGCTTGTTAAAAAAAAAGACATCTGGAAGCAGTTAAAACCTTTTATTTTCAATAAATCAAATACATACGTTTGTTAAAAATGGTGGCAACAAAACAAAAAAAGTTTGAGATCTTATCCCAAAATTCAAACACTGGAAACCTCGTCACACGTTAATACATCGGCAAAGAAAGCCGAATAACGATCAGTTCAGTAGGGATGGAGGTTTATTACAGCCTTTTTATATCATACAGATATTTAAATTCATACATTTGATCCCTTTTCAGATCACGTTGAGCAAAACTTGCTCAACAGAATAAACAAGTTCCCTCAGTCAACAATTCCAGAACCAGCAGCATCTGATCAACATAGTTTAGATAGGATGAGGGCAGCTGGATGAGGCCTGATCGATTCATCAGCTCTCTATGCAGGTGATTTCAGCAGAGTTCCAGGATTTTCTCCCACCGATTAACTTCATGTCCTTATTTCTCCCAGCCTTTCCCTCCAGGTTGTGTGGGCACCCTGAGCCCTACTAAGCCTGCTACTTCCTCAGGGCTGCGTTCCCCCTTGCCGTGGTAGAGGTTATGCAGGGCCAGATGGTTCCTGGTGGACGCCAGCAGACACAGGTATGTGAGCGAGGCATGGTGCGCCTCCTGTTGGGCTCTGCAGTACCTTTCTCCTGTAACCTGTGACCAGAAAATACAAAATAAACAAACGAACGTAAACAAATAGACAATAATCCATTGGACTTTGACTAGGCCATTCTGGTTTTGGTTCTATTAGGCTTACTTTTAATTTCCAGCCTCAAACAAGTTTTTCTGGAAGTATTTCCTTTTATTTGGCATCAGACTTTTTCCCTGCTAAAAATGATTCCCATAGGATGATGCTGCCACCTCCATGTTTACCCATTAGAAGATGAAGTTAGTTTACATCGAGTAGAGAGACTTTACATCTAGACCAGGAAGTTTAATTTTGGTTTCATCTTACCAGAGGGCCTTCTTCCACATAGCTTAGCTGTTCAGCCAACATTGTTATTGGCAAACTTAAAGAACAATACTACTAAAATTCCTTTATTTAAATTAAAATCAGCTCAATAATTTCCATCTGGAGGTTTTTTTTTCTTGATTCTGTTCTTTCCACTAAAGACTCTGGATGACAAAGTCTACCATTGCTTATTTCACGTGGCAATTTTAGCATAAGAGCCTCATGAGAAACAACATGGCAGAGAAATGCTGGATAAGATTTGGAAAAACAGAATGGAAATGCTTTCAAACCTGAACGTGACAGTTGCAGTGTGGGAACACTTTAAATTTAAAACCAATGACAATACTTTCGTTTTTTCACAATAACTTCTGGCACAATTTATAATCCAGCAAAATGTATCACTGTGACAGGCCTAATAAGGACTTCCACTGTGCAATACTTCAAGAAAAAAAGGTATAATTTGAACAACTAACAGACCACCTCTCAGTAGGTTCTCTGACTTTTGCACTGGTCTCCTGGCTGCTCCTCTAACATCTAACATTAACAACCTTGTTGTACTTTCAGCAAGTTATGGACTGTTCTTTTTTATGTGATGAAAAGAACAGGGCTCGGTAAGATATGCAAAGCTGGAGATGTTATCTTAGAACTTTATCCTGCTATAAACTTCTCCAAAACATTTTCCCTGACCTCTTTGCTGTCTTAAATGTACACTTTAAAGCTCAGGCAGCAACGTACAGCGAGTCAAAACGAAATATGACAAGCAAGAGTTCCTCAAAGCTGTTTTGCTTCAATAAATAGATATGCATACAGCAATCCTGCTGAGCAGCGCCCTCCCAAGCATTAATAATGCAAGCTCTAAGCCTAGATGGCAAAGAAGACACCGACTGACAGATCCTGGACGATGGTGACTGATTTTTACCAGACACAAGAGAAATTGTGGAGCAGTGGGAGAATCCAGCCTAAAATACAGGGATAAGATATTTGGTCTTAAATATTTTCTGTGCTTAACCTCAACAGCTCACAGTGTTTCAGTAATGTATTTGTTTTAGAACACATTTAAAGCCCCACAAACGGCTTTGATAATAAACTTTATCAACATTACAGTAGGTATACAAAGTATGATAACCAAGTGATACAAACAATTTAAGTAATAAAACTTGTTTTGGGGATTTATTACATAATATCTGTGGATGTTTTGGAGATATCCTTCAATATTTTTCTATTTTTCCTTCCAGCTTTTATTGTCATTATACTGTCACAGGTACAGAGCAACGAAATTAACTATTTACATTTAACCCATCCCCTTGGGGAGCAGCGGACTGCCATCGTGGGGCACCTGGAAAGCTGTGTGTGGTTAGTCATAGGGAAGTGGCTGTTCCAACCGTTGCATTTCCGAATTCACCCCAGTGGTGCCCGACTTTACACGAGTGAATAAAGTGAATGTGATTGGTCGTTTATCAAGAGGGCAGGATTGTTGTGGCGGAAGGTTCCCAAGCAAGTTTGATTTTGGCCGGTTTCTCAGATCGCATCTTGCTAACCAGTTAGCAACTTAGTGCTAGTAGGTTCCCAATGGGAAATTACATTGGGACCGAGTAGCACTATATTGGTGACTTAGATACAACACTGTCAAGGAACGCTATGGACAGCGGAAACATGCAAGAGGAGGAGAGTTTACTGTCAGAGGTCGTGGATGAGTCTCCTCCGTCATACATTTTTTATTTCAAGGAGGAAAGCGGGGACGAAGATGTAGTGGAAGAGGACGCCAGGGCGGCAGAAGCTTGGTTTGGGGTAGAAAGCTTACAGCCCTTGCCTCGCAACGCTGCCAGTTCTGTTAGCTCTACGCCTGCTGAAGACAAAGACGTCAATCCCCATGAACAATGGGTCGGGACTCAATGGGAAAGTAAATTATTCTTATTTCAACTGTTGCGTATATTAGCTGCGAAATATGAATCAAGATGCTATGATTGGAAAAAATTGACAGATGAACGTTGATATATGGCCGAATTTAGGTGTTCAGGCTGACGTATAACTAACTGGCCTGCATAAGATAGCAAAAATAAAAAACAGCATTTATTATTTTTTTTAAGTAGAAATTTTCTTAATTTTGGGACAATATCATCTGATAAAGAGTACATTTATATACATGTTTAAGCCAGAATGATTTGACATTTAAATATGACTTCCCTACGACTTTAAGGGTCATGCTCAGGGACCCAGAGTGGCAGTCTGTTGAAGTGGGACTCAAACTCAGATCCTCAGGATTCCAAGCTCTATGCCCTAACCACTCACAAATATTTACCAGTATTGTAAGTTTTCTGTTTATTTTCTGTAGTTTACTGTATAACTGAACTGCAAGACAAAGGCAGAAACCTTTTTAGGTGAATTTCTTTTTAAAAATAATCTATAGTTTTGTTGAAACGCATGATAAACAACAATAAAATAAATAATAATACAATTCTAATTGTTCCTTATAAAATGAAATAATTCAGCACCAAAAGGGTAACCTATTTCTTTCACTGCGCTTAAAATCATATACTGTCATAACTTTTCATTATTAAGTTTTACATCTTATAAAATGTATTAAGCTTCAACATATCATGTATTTATTATTTTTTCATTATATTTATCTTTAACACAGGTGTCTGTAGCTAATGGCTAAAGAAACACACAAGGTTAATGTTTAGCATTAAAGTCAACGGTTAGCTGTTCCCAAAGCTAATGCTAACATGCCCTTCACTTCTACTCACCTTCAGCTTATTACATGTCAAAAACTACCAGTGTCTGACATTAATTTGTATTCTATAACTGTTTGTTTAGCGGTTTGATTTCAGAACTACAAAAATATGCCAGATATGAGCTGCTATGAATCTGAAGGGTAAGCTTAATTTTAGTGGGTAGCAAGTTAGCTAACATCTACCTGGGCTAAATTGGGACTAAACTCACCTTATTCTTGCGAAATTGATCTATGACATAGTTGTAAGCCAGCGACTGTTTGTAACTCTGTCCCTGAATCGCACGTAACTCTTTTAATATTCCTCTACAGACTCTTAAAGGAGATGAGAGCGACGCCATCTTCACGGTGTACTGCTTACCAGCAGCGCGTCAGGGCAGCCAGGCATTAGCAATCAAACAGAGCACTGTCATTCTGTGTAACAACCACAAGGTGGCGGCATTGTACGCTTTATAAATTGGATGACAGCTTGGCTTCTGCAACAGGTAATCTTTTTTTTTTTTTTTTTACAGGGATAATCACCATCACACCTGTTTGACATATTCCCTGTGGTTCATAGTTTTAAGGGGAAGAATTTAAAATGTATCAAGTTATTAAGTCAGCACACTAAAAAAAAAAAAAAAGAAAAAGAAAAAGAAAACCGTGGAAGGGGAGTTCAAGAGAGAGAAGTGCAGAAAGACCCCAGCATGTATCAACCTGGACACCTGCTTGGTGCAAAAATAAAGATATAAGCAACTGATCCATGTGCAACATCCCAAAAAGGAGATAATTAAAAAAGTAGAATAAATACACCTTTATGAAATACTGTAAAAAAAAAAAACATAAAATATATAATAAGAGGAGAAAATAAACACACAAATACACTTGAACCAGTAAATAAATTTACAAGCATAAAATAAACACTCCTATGAAAGAATTATCAAAACACAAAAAATATACCCTCTAAGAAAATTTTTTTTTTTTTTTTTGGGATTTTTATTTTTTCACGTTCATCTTTTTCTCGTTCATCTGCATTCTCATAAAAAGATATTTGATATTTTCTTTGCACGGCTATTGTAGTTTAGATAGCCATAATGGTTATCAGAACCACATCTAATGTGAGCGGTGTTTGAGTTTTGTCTAAATACTCAAGTAGTAACATTTCATATGCTGTCATTTCTGTAAAAAACAAAAAAAGAACAAAAAAAAAAATCTCTAATCTATCTCATTACTAAGGTGTATTACTAAGCTGCTAATGACCTATTAAAAAAACATCAAAATTTCCGATATATATTAGCAAATTTGTTTATTTTGGAAAACATCCATTTTATTTCTGTTTTCAGGTTTTGAAATAAAGGAAAACAAAATATTTAGCAAAGAGAGGATGGATATGTTGTCTTCAATGCGTTGCTAATATATATAAAAAAGATAATTTCCAAGCTAAAAAGAAAGAGAGGGAAGGTTTATTATCTTTCTTTTCAGTTTCAATCACAGTCTTACAGTATTACAAAATAACTGCATAGTTATGTATTGCAACATATATTAGTAACACTGATTAGTTCTTTGTTTGACTCCCTCTCGTGGTTTGGAGCACTTCCTTTTTATGGAGCAGGTTTGCGGTTGCTCTTACAATTTTTATTATTTCCTTTCATTGATCGTAGCATTTTGTTTTTGCTTGGAATATTTTTTGTTAGCACTTGTTCTGTTATATTTTTAGTGATTGCAGCAATTTTGTTTGCTGTACTTTTTGTTGCATTTGTTTTATGTGCTGGTGAGTTTGCAGTTCATGTTGCTGTTTGCGTTGCATTTGCACCTGTTTGCAGCTCATTTCTTTTCTATTTGCTGAGTTTTGCTGTTGCATTTGGAGTTTGCAAAGCACATGTTTTTGCATCTTGTTTCATTGTTTGCTGAGCGCTTGCACCATGGTATTGCAAAAAAAAAAAGATAACAATTAAGTTCAAAAGGTGGGTATGAATTGGTAAATTGGTTACTGACCAGAGGCCTGTTTCACAAAGCAGGTTTAACAAAATCAGACTCTGAATTGATCTAGCCTAAGGTTGGAAACTCTGAGTTTTTGGTTTCACAACGGCTGCTGTGAGTTAGTTTAATCAAATCTGAGTAAGTCCGCTCAGAGTTTAGCACGTTTGTAACAAATAGGAAAAGCCACTATGAGTGGAGCACAGATTCAATGAGTCAGCATGACAACAGGCAACACGAATTGCCTATACCACAGGAGATAGAGATGTCAATGCAGAAAAAAAAAATGGAGAATGTTTTTAAAAGACAGAGCAACAGCTCTACAGCTGCAAAGGAGAGGAAGATGGTGGAGGAGAAGATTGCAGCTTGAGTTAACGTGTAAGGATATATGAAGCTATTACAGGGGGAAAACCACTTTACTGGTTGAATGGTAGTGAATAAATGTATTACATTTAGGTGAAATCTCATGGTAGAGAAGCGCACATGGCAGCAGGTGAAGATGAAGTATAAAAAAGGACCAGCACATCATCTTATGGGGTTCATCCTTATTTTAATTCTGTCTTCCATTGCACAGTAAATAGGTTGCTGTCTGACTGTCCAGCCTTTTTTTTTTATAATGCTGTTTACACACATTAATCTATGCCTGTCCTTGAACCTCAGTCAGCCTCAGCAGATGGCCGCTCACATTGAGCCTGGTGCTGCTGGAGGTTTTTTCTTGTTAAAAGGTAATTTTCCTCTCCACTGTAACTACAAGCATGCTTGGTGTGAGGGATTGCTTTCAAGTCAATGAGTTGATGTAATCCACTGGTTTTCTCAAGGTAGAAAACTTTGAACCAATCTGAGTGTATGAGCTAGTTTAATTGTCTCTTTAACGTGCCTTGAGATAACATGTATTACGAATTGGTGCTCTAGAAATAAACTGAACTGAAATCTGAATCAATGCTCTCGGCTATATTATTTACTTATAAATAGCTGTTAAAGGACTCAATGCTGCAAATGTGAGGACGGAAAGAACCCTGGATATAAAAGGACATCTTTACACGGTCTGCGAACCCTCTCCCTATAAATATTAAATTCTCTGCAATTTAATGCTGCTCATTCTAAGTTATTATTTTTAACATTCAATAGGTCTAACGGAACTAGTGAATGGTTTTCTTTTTATCGTTCTTGCGAAACTACGACGGAACTCTGCTGATTAAATCAGGAAATAAAACAATGTGATTTGCTGTACGGAGGATGGAGACAGAGGACACCTGCTCCCCACCAGGTTAGCTCTGTGGAGCATGTTACTATGGTAACAGAAAAAGAGGTTGAGTAAACTCTCTTTGTGAAATGGAAAATTCTGAGTTTTCCTGATTTCATGTTTAGAAAATATGGAGTTCTCAATAAACCTGCTTTTTGAAACAGACCTCTGGAGACAAAAGAATGTCATAGGCATAGATAAAAAGAAAATAAAAGAGTAGGGAATATTAATAAAACTACAATAGATGAAAGATGGGGGGGTAGGTCAGCCAATAATTGGGCCACTGGCCCTCCTTCCCCACCCTTGGTGAAACCCCTCCCCTGCATCATAAAGCATATATGTCGCTTAATGAGCTGGCCTGTGGTTTGCATTGAGTGTAATGTTACATGTCACATGATGTCAGAAAAAAGAAAAGAAAAAAAAAACCAACAGGAAAGCACAGAACCTTTAGCAACGGTCCTTTGAGAGCAATCATGAGTGTGGTGATGAATTTATTGCCATAGCAACACCGAGTTTGGCTGAGGGCAAAATGTAAAAGAAACAATCGGTTTCACAGTGCCGCAGACACGAACCAGAGGTCCTTTAATGCTTTTAAATTGGTGCAAAATGAAGTGGTTGGAACCCTGAAAAGAAGATAGTCATCTACCGGGACTGCAGGCTAAAATTATTGAAGCTTTAATATATTTTTTACCTGGATGTTATTGGAATCATGAAAAGACAGTGCTGGACAATTGTAGGGTGGAAGGAAGGTGATGCATGTTTTCCCATATAAGAATAAAAACAAATTCTGAAAACTAGTCGCAAAAGACACATTTGTTTTCACCACCATTTGAAAACCCTTCAATCTTCTTCAATCACAGCCACAAGTCCTTAAAGCATGGCTCTGCAGGCTTTGCAGAGGGAAGCGTTTTCCCATCCTCTGCTCACTGACGGTCGTTTTTTTTTGGAACATTTTTGCAACTCGTGTTGGTTTGTTACATAAAATCCCCAAAAAACGTCAAGTTTGTCATTGAAATTAAATAAAACTTGAAAAGTAAATATTATCAACCAACAATTTTAATGATTCCACTACCATTTTGATTGTATATTGATGATTGACTCTAGAGGGAGCCAGTCTCTTATTAGTTACACACCAGTTTGGTTCCTTGTCTTTATTGGAAGGGCCCCTCTACCCTTCTACCTTCCCCATATCACACTCTCTCTCTCTTACACACACTCTCTTTCAATGAATACTAATGCAGTGAGTGGGCCCACCTCCCTTCCTCCCATCTTTTTGCAGTGATGGGCGGGAGAAGGGGAGACAGAGCAATTCCAGCTCAGTATCTTTCCTCATGAGGTAGGCTGTGCTTGACTAGCAGCAACAGCATCATCCCCCCCCCCCACAAGTGATGCCTTTTTTTTCTTTTTTTTTTTCTCACACTGAGCAATACAGGTAACGCCGCCCGTTGCCACTGCAACAATGTCTAGGCTGTGTGTGGGGCTCGTGGTGTCTGAGCAGAGTTAAGAGGAAAAGCGGAGAGGACATCTGTGGCTGGTTTCTGTCATCTGGATGGGAAGTGCTTTTTGGCAAAAGAGGGAGAAGAAAGCAGAAGGCAGCCGAGGAAGGGGAACAACTGGCAACAGCCAATCCCCCCTTCCACTCACAGACTGGAGACAACGGAGGCCACTGGAGTATTTGCTTTTATCTTTCGTTTTTTGTTCTTTTTTTTCCTCATTGCGCTGCTGGGAGGTGCTTTGCCTTTTCATTTGCTCGCTCTTTCGGTCCTCTGTCTCCTCATCTATTTTGCCATTTACCTGGTCAACAATTTCTTCTATTTATGAGCCAGACAAGGAAGGAGAGAGAGAGGGAAGCAGAAAGACAGAGAAAAGGAGAAAGAGACAGAGGGGGGATTTTTTCCCCCCTCTTTATCCTCTTTTATCCCCTCCATCCATTCTTCCCTCCCGTTCCATTGCCTTCCCTCCCTGTGCAGCCCACGCTCCCTCCTCTCTCCCTCACACCTCCTCACCCGTAACTTTGGCTACTCTTATTTTGACTCCACCTGTCTTTTAATTTATATCTTTTAAGCAGCTCTAAATTGGCTTTCTTTGTCTTTTCTATTTATGCCTTTTTCACTTTTACTCCTATCCCCCCCCCTTCTTTTTTCCCCCTTATGCATCTTATCTGGCTGATCCTTAACTCTAACCATAGGTAGGTCTGATGAGTGTTTAGTGTCTGTCTTTGTTTCCTCTCTCCGTGTGTGCGAGGTGTTTTGTGTTTGCAGCACACCTTGACATGATCCACACACACTCACACAATTGGCAATGCTTCGGTATCTCCATGGCACTCCTCCCATCCCGCTCTCAGCTGATTCCTGCCTCATGCCCTCCTTACGTCACTCTTCCTTCTTTCATCCTTGTTTTCTGACTTAATTTCGCCCCCCCTCCCCTTCAAGTGACTCATCAAGTGAGCACCTTCAGCCATCATCACGGACCTCCAATGTTTGACTGCCTTGTCATTAAAAAGTGTGTTGTGTCCATTAAAGGGGCTTCATCACGTCTACATGTTTGTTTTATTTGGTTTTCCTGTCACACACACACAGACACACACCCACCAGTAAACTTCCTCATCTGCTGAAAAGCTCCAGTTTTTTTTTTAAATGTTTGACCCAGCGGAGGTCAGGCTGAACAGTAAGGGCCCGTTTTAACTTGGTTGCTTCAAAGCCCGTTCTGCCGGGGTGTCATCTGTGTTTGTACAATCCTCCGGCTCCGTTTTTCAATGCCCTCTTTTCCTCTCTCCTCCCCTCTGTCTCCTCCCTCCCCGTCCCTCTTTCTGTCTCGTATCTTTCCCAAACTGACTCCCAATTCCTGCAGACTGTCACACACACAAGCTTCTAAAGAGAATGGACTGCCTTTTTATTGTTTTTCATCTTAAAGGACATCTTATCCCTCGTTGTTTTCCACTTTTTCTGGCTTAACTCTTACCTACTTTCATCATATCTCACCTTTTTATTTTCTCTCCTCCTCTGCTTTCATCCAGTCTATTCTTCCACACTGATCCTGCTCATTGATTCATTGTTAATTTACATTTTTTTCTGCCAGTGCTAAAAGAATTGCCACACATTACGGAGGAAGATTTTGCAATTGGATTATGTGATTCAACAATTTATTAAATATTACAATCACAAGGAACAGAAAGCTGAATGATTTTTGGACTGACTGGGAGGTAAATGGAGCATTGTGTGTCAGCCATAGCAGAAGCACAGAAACATACACTTTAGTTGAGAAAACAAACAAACAAACAAAAAAAAACAGTGGAGAAAATCACATAGCTCATCTTCATTTTTAATTTTCTTAATTTTTAAATATTTGCATTCTGTTTCCGAAGGAGATTTAAAACCGAATGAAGACGACGGAAAAGTGGGACTCTGGATATATAAGCTTTCCTGTGGAATTACCATTTAAATCCTGGATTCGATTTTGAATGAAACTAAAATATTTACCAGTAAAACAAAGATTTTTTTTTTTCAAATTCTTGAATTTTATTCAGGTTATATGTTTTTTTTTTTTAATTTTTAAAGGACCAAAACTAATTTGTCTCTCGGTTTTTAAATCTTTACTGGATATTACAACTGTGGATTAAAGACTGAAGCAGCATTTTTTCTCAATTGGCCTTGATTTTAATTTCTCCATTCTACAACAGCTCAGCCCATTAAACATAACTCATTGTTTAGAGATCAGTAGGTGAGTATGTTTCATTGGATCCACACATGCTTTTCCTGGTTTTGGATGAAGGGCAGATGGAGATATTTATAGAAATGCATTTTGCCATATCAAGTTTTTCTTTTGCACCCACAGGCTCACATGGTTATATATCTTTATATATGTGTGTGGGTCTAAAGTGCTAAATGCTGGTGGATTATTGACATCATTAATAGCCCTCCCACTTTAAATCCTTTCACTGTTTTCTCCCCTAAGTTTTCCTTTCCTTCTCTTTAATTCATGAAAGTAGCAATGAAATAATAATCATGAGTGTCTATCAATGTAAAAAAATTAACTTTAGATGTTAAATTATCTTCTGTTCCAAATCATCGCTCTGTAGAGCCACTAGTTTTGGAGAAGAAGGGAAAAAAGGACTGTGACTCGATGCGAGTTGGACGTACTCGCTTATGTAGATCAATAAAGTAATCTACGTGATGAAAAAGAGTACACTTCCCTTTCTCGAGGAGCAATTTTTCTTATCTGACGTTAAACCAACGATGCCAAAACTGCTTTAACAGTAGAAGTGTAATAATGATGTTGCTCCAGAATCGAGCTCCTGCTCTTTATCTGCAACCAAATTCACATTCAAAGCCATTGTGTTCATCTCTCTATCCCATCACAAACACATACAGACCCCATTGTCCATCTATCTGCCGTGCAGCGGTGATTGACCCTGTTTCTTTGATTAACTTTCCAATCATGTGTCAGACAGTGTGTTTTGGATTTACAATATAAGTATATGTGTGCGTGCGTGCTCAGTCAAGGTTGTTGCGTCACACCTGTAAAATCCCCCTGGGACCTGCTCTCATAAACTCGCGGTCTATTACCCATTCTGCTGGCTGCTCCCTGGCAAACATGTGACCCTCCTTAGCCTTTCTGCAGATGGGCACTTTAGCTCAGGTAGTCTGTCAAAGCTGTCATTGTTGCTGCCACACTGCAAAACAGACTCTACGGGTGCAGGCTTGGCCCCTGACACATGGCTCGCTGCTGTAATGATTACCGAAACTGTCTGTGGTAGTCTTTTATGATTGATATTCGCTTTTCCTGTCTTTAAAAAATATGCAACAGGGCTTGACAGAATCAAAATGGATGTTAAAGTGGACTTCATAGCCCACTTAGATGGAAGAAGGCTTTTCATACTCCTCATTTCCACCTCTTCTTAGTAATATTGTGAGCAAAACAGATTTTAATAGAGTTATAGAGGTGATCTGTTGCTCATCTTGGGATATACTTTTTCCAATACTGTAAATTGTAAACTTTTGCAGCAAATAATAAAGAATGTCTCGTGTTTTCCAGGGTTGAAGTAGTACCAAAGTGCAGACAAGAATGAAAGATGAGCATGATTAAGAGTTTATTAACAGTAATTAATAGAAATTAATAGTAACTAAGAGAAATATAATATATCATATTCATGTTATTTAAGATTATTTGTAAACTGAAAGTCTCAGTCTTTATGTTTTCATTGCCTTAGAAATAGCTATGCATAATTACATAGGAGCGGGTTATGCATTTTTGGAGGCAGACATCTTCGAGCTACGGCAGCACAGAGCTGACAAACTAGTGGCTGTAGAGATCGCCATGACGCTCGATTGTGACTTCATCTAGTTAGCCCTATATAAAAATCTATATCCTACACAGAATAATAAAACACTGTTTCTAAAATTATCTGTGAAAAAAACAACTCATCATCACTTGACAAGATTGGTGATGTGGACATTTCGGAAGCCATTTTGTACCATGATGGCTTCCGTATTGTTTGAAAGGGAGAAACGGTGGTGGAAGCGGTTCATGTCCCTGCAGTCTGACCAGTAGATGTTGCTTAAAATCACACAATATAGCTATTATTGAAAACTCTAAGGAGAAACACAAAGATGAAGCAAGTAGTAAATCCAATATGTAATTTATTGAGTTTGATATTTCATTCTTCAACTCTTAAAAAGGTTGAGGGAGAAGTAATTAGGGGCATGCAAAAACTATTTATGAACCAAAGGGGAACCTTTGACCTATTTCAACAGTGGGCAACCCCCCCCCCCAAAAAAAAAACAATAAGGAAGTTTAACATGTTTCAAATCTCTACAAAAAAAAAAAAGAAAATAATTTAAGAGATTAATGTTAATTGAATCATGTGGACTTTTAACCAATCTGTCTTTTCTTTTAAACAGTTTAATGAGAAAGCAAAGCAGATTCTATTTTCGACACATGTTTCACAGGGAAGATTATTGGTGATGCACCACATCCAATGTAATTTCCCATTGGGAACCTACTAGCACTAAGTTGCTAACTGGTTAGCAAGATGCTTCGGACAAACGGGCCACAATCAAACTTGCTTGCGAAACCTTCCGCTACAACAATCCTCTTGATAAACGACCAATCACATTCACTTTATTTACTCGTGTAAAGTCGTGCACCACTTGTGAGAATTTGGAACTGCAACGGTTGAAAGGGCTATTGCCCTACGACTTTAAGGACACTTTAGAGAAGCAGATTAAGCTAACTGTGGACTGTGCGAGGAAGCTAGAGTACCCAGAGAGAACCCACACATGCAGTGGGAGAACATGCAAAGTCCATGCAGAAAGACACCGGGCCAAAAATCAAACCCATAACCTTCTTGCCGCAAGGCAACAGTTCTACCAACTGCACCACCATGCAGCCCAAAAACTATTATAGGCCCTACATTTAAAAAAGAATAAAATTAGATAAAAAAAAAAAAAATTTTGGGCTGCAGACTAAATATGAACTGCTTGCAACTTTAAAATTGTATACATTTGAACTGTCCCTTTAAGAAATCTTATGGGGGTTTGCAATCATCATTGTTAAACAGGGTAGAGAGGAGACAGCAGGGGCTGAGGAGATTCATAATCCTATCCACTCTTCCTACTGATTTTCACTCTGTCTCTCTGCTGCCTAATGAGACAACAAAGCAACGCTTGTTTGTGGCTCTCAGCGCTGCAGCCTCCCCAATAGAGCCTGCATTAACCCCTTCATTAGTTGTTTTGTATTCCACTGATTCCACTCTGTGCTATGGGATCACAGAATCCTACTTCACTGCCGCTTTTGACAATAAGCCTCTGAGCAGTCGGCGTGGAGCAAGCTTAAAACCCAACACCTCAGATTCGCTTTAGATGCAGTGCTGTGAGACAACCTCATCCATCATCTTGTTCTAAATGAGAGAATCAGTCCACAGAGCTCCATCTGAATCTCGTAACACGGTGACATGTGTCTCCATGTTGTTCACCCGTTGCAGAGCGAGCTGGGAACCTGTGTGGGATGACTCCAACAAAAGTACATTTGGATTTTATTGGCTGTATATTCACTTCAAGAGAGCAGAATATGGGTCATGATCTGATATAAAAAGGCTATTCAATAATTCATCGGAGCTGATTAAGAGGACTCGCATCGACAGAGACCCTGTCCAAGAGAAGTGATGTGCACAGAAATGCATTTAGGCCTCTTTATAAGATTAGAACCGAGCTAAGAACAAAGATTCAACAAATGCCTCTGAACTTAAAGGCAGAGCTGCAAAACATTCCGTTTTAATAGCTTTTTAAACCGCTGTAGAATTTCTCACATTCACTGTTAGCTGCAGCGCATGTGTTTGGCTTTATTAGTAATCATGTGCAAGTTGTCTTAGTTCTGTGAGGCCCATCAATCTATTAAATATGGAAAGAACAATCTGTTACCCCGCAGAGACTGGTTCATTATTCATACACATTTTTCACTTAATCATTTATTCACCTAAAGTATGGCTCAAACTCGCCTCTTGGATTCCGACGTCCTTGTTTGGACTCTTGTTTGTTAAATAGGAGATGTGAATCAGCTTTTATATATTTTTCTTCCTGACCAGTAAAGCTTTTTTAAATGCTGGTTTAAAATGACTTGGAGTGTGAAAAATGTTATGAAACCTGTTTTCCTACAAAGTTTATAATTAAAAATGTCATGCATTTAAATACTTAGCCTTTAGCCTATTGGTTTTTATGGCTGTATGTTTCAGTATAAGAATTTCCCTTAGAAGATTAATTATCTTTTCCCCCCTCACATAATACAAAACAGTGCTGTGCTAAAGCTCTTGCTTCAGCAATGATAAAAAGGGTTATTTCAGTTTCTTTTGTAGTGTAGCAAAAACAACAACAAAACAGGTCAATTCTGCAATAATTTGGAAAGTGTGTTTAATCTAAATTGAATATTGATAATCTTTTATTCCAATTTGTGATCAGGGGTACCTTCATGCCACAAAGCAGATAAATTATGGTAATAAAGTAATGCATTATATCTAAACCATACCTCCATTAAGAATTTTGGAGCCAGAGATAAAACAACATAAGGATTTCTCAAAGCAGTAAACAAAAATGATCAGTAATTGATTGGTTTTGCAGATAAAATAAACAACATCGTACACAACTTTTCATTGAGTTTTCATAAGCCTTCAATACAGTTGATCAGTAAATCTGGTCATTCAGGAATGATTTCAAAACTACTTGTCTAGCAGGTCACAGTGTATCTATGTGGCAGGTCAGTTTTCTAACTGCCTGGTTATCCCACAAGGTACTATCCTAGGTCCCCTTCTTTTTCTAATCTAAATTCACAGTTTAGATAAAATATCCTGCTTGCTAAATTTAATTTTTATGCTGATGACACTGTCTTACATTATGCTGCCAATAAAGTTAAATGTGTGTTTTAAAATCTACAGCTTTTGATGTGAGAGATCTAAATCTAGTTTTAAATGCTATAAAATCTTAAGTTATTTGAATCTCCAGTTATATAAGTTTATCAAGATTGTAATTGATGCAGATGTGTTTCAAGGTCATCAGATTGAAGTTGTCTCATTATGAATATCTAGGATTGATGATTGATAATTCCTTCAGTTTTGTTCCTAATATTCGACAGCTTGTAACAGAATTAAAGCTGAAGCTGGGTTTTTATTTTAGAATTAGATCTCACTTATCACTTGATGCTAGAAAAGGTGTTGTTGCTACAGCTTTTTTTTAATCCGTTTTAGATTGTGATGACGTAATTTATATTTTCCAGCGTTTAATTGTCATTACGCTGTCACAATTACAGAGCAACAAAATTAAGGGAGCTCAGGGAGCTAGAGTGGCAGTAGGGCTTGAACTCAGAACCTCAGGATTCCAAGCACAATGCCCTAACCACTAGGCCGCCCTCCCCAAAGCAGGCATTAGAATGAAGGGTCTTGCCTAAGGATCTGCCATCGTGGCTCATTCCCACCAGCTGGGATATGAATCCTGTTTAAAGGAAGGGTGACTTACCACTTGAGCTAACCAGCTGCAAATATGTACCCACATTCACACTGGTTGCATATGCTAAATTCTGTGTACCATGGAGCATTAGGTTTCATCAATGGTCAAGGAGCCCTAACTCATCATTGTTTTCTGTATAACCATATTGTTTGGACTGCCCTGTCCACCAACATATTTGACCACTTAGATGTGTTTACTTATGAGGCCACTTTTGGTTTACTCCCCTCAATTTATTGTCTCTTATTGTTAGAAAACTTCCAAGTGGTTATTCTCTCTGCTCGAACAACTTCATTCTATTGTCTGTGCCTAAAGGTCATACCGAGGATGGCAAAAATCCCTCCAGTTTGCTTTTTATTCAGATTTGAATCAACTGCAGAAGGACTGAAATTTGAAAGAAATTGTTCCTTGTAATATATCTAAGGCCACTCTTTCTCATTTAGTAAAAAAAGGTATTTTTTGCAAATGCAGTGATTTATATTAAGTGGTATTTTAATTCTATTTTATATACAAGGCTGTGTTTGTTACTTTCTTTCTTTTACTATCTATACTGTTTTTGAACTGGTTTTTATATCTGTTAGGTTTGCCTAGTTCTCTCTAGTAAGAGATTCATAATCTCAATAAGAGATGCGGTCATGGTTAAATAAAGTGTACATACATAGTAATTAGGATGTACACTCAGAGAAAGCGGTCAACAGCTAAATATCAAATAAAAAGACGTTTATTCAGTATAAACTAAGATTTCTGCCTGAAGATAAAATAGACATTTCTATACTTAGATTTTTTCCCTCCTACATATCCATATTTGGAAAATATAAAACCACAGTCTAAACTTTCTGGGATAACACTGTGTTGGAACCCACTTATTTGTTTGTTTTAAATCACCCTCATTTAACCTGATTTATTATTTCTAGGGTGAGCATGTCGGAGAATGCGATCCATGCCAAAGCACATAGTGGCTTTGTTAGAGTCTTAAATGAGTGTGCCCTGCTTCTAACCCTCTGTCCTCCTTGTTCCCTTTGCAATAACAGAGTGGCAGACGTAAGAGAAACAAGACTCTCTGAGCATCTTTTCCAAGGAAGAGAAGTGACGCTGCTCCAGTGGAGTGCAATTACCTCAACATTGATGCTTTACCCTCTTGACCATCTGAGGATTTTACCTAAAACGGCTGTAAGTTCTTTATTAGTAACTCACTCTTTACAATCAGGACTATATAAAAAGGTGTTATTTGGAGATACAACAGGATGAATGCAGCAGCTGTGCCTCATTCTTAAATGTACCAGTTCATGACTCTCTGGATTTTTACTTAAAAATTCAATTCATGCTGCAGATGGAAGACATGTTTTTAATAAAACAAAGCTTTGTTAAACCAAACAACTCAAAGCGCTGAATAAAAAACTAAATTGGCTTTAGCTTTCTGATGAGTTTCCCTTTTTTTTTGAACCCATAGCCATTATGTTTTCAAGACACAATTGTGATCTGTTAACAAAAGAACCTGAATTGCTTTATTTAGTTACTGTTCAGCAAAAATCCATAAAAATGAATATCTTAAAATTCAGAAGCTTCTCCTGTTAGATACGCATAATGTTATTGTTGATTTTCCTCCAGCCTCCCTCAGTCTGAGGCTATGACAGGGAGAGAGGAGTCCCAGGCCGCACCACCATGCTACTTCTGAGAAGCTGGGATGAGACTCTGGCTGGCAAAACACGAGGTGAGACAATATTGATGCATGGGGCCTCCTTCTACTGTTTTCTCATCCCCACAGAGACTCCCTGTAACAACCCATCTTATCTCTGCTGCGTGTTTGTGCATCCGCCGCTTCCCTGAACTGTGTCCCGTTCTTTAAGCCCGATGATGGATGTTCTGAAACTCCTGAGAGCTTATTTTTTGCTTTGTATCTCACGCCAGGTTTGCCTGGGGGTCAGAATAGTGGTTCAAGGTGGAGCCTGCAGACAAATGGTCTAATCCTTGGTTTGTAGCATGGCACGCACTTTGATCAATGGCACGCATCAGTGCATGGACGGTCGGCCAGACCCAGGCCATATCGACTATTGGCCTCATTTCCATAGCACTATGTGTATTGATCAGGCTATTAAAGGATTTGTTTGCTGTGATTTTGAAGTCAAAGTTTAAGACTATTTGGAAAGTAAACTTATAAGAGATATGTTCATGCAGTAAGTGTATACAGTGTCATGCTAAAATAGTCCCTCTCTCTTGAACATTTACATACTTTGTTGTGCCGTAACCAGATATCAAAGCACCGTACAGTATACAACTCTGAAGTAGAACCACTACGGATCAATGGTGTTGAATTTATTTTCCAAATCGGTATCTAAAGAGTTGCTTTTTACTCCAATTTCAGCACATTTTTCTGTGTGAAATAGCTTAAGATCAGTCAATTAATTATTTTTTTAAATCTTGGCACAGATTTTCTGTTGTTGTTATCCCGGTTGTGCAGTTAGAGTTGTCGCACTGCTGGAAGGTGAACCTTCATCCCACATTTCAAGTCTTGAACAGCCTCTATGCTAGACTGTTCGGTATATAACTCCATCCATCTTCCCTGAATAAGAAAAGGAGTCCCATAGGATGATGCTGCCACCACCATGTTTTGTTTAATGGAGGATATGTTCAGGCTCATGTGCAGTGTTACTTTTTCATCATGTCAAAGAGTTTTGCACGTGGACCACAATTTCTGATTGTGGTATCATCTAACCAGATCTCCTTTTTTCCACATTGTTTGCTGTTTCCCTAATATAACTCTTTGCAAACTTTAAAAAAAATGGCTTTTTATGTTTTTTTTTTTTTTTAGAAAAACATATTCAGTTTCCACTTTTATATTAATGGTTTGAAGTATGCCTTTGAAAATATTATGTATTTACTAAATGACTCCTTAAATCATCCAGTTACCGGTAGTTGTTTAATTTCAGATGGCTGTTTTGATGATTTTGGGGGATATTTTTCTATAAAAATGTAAAAACAAACACTTTCTATCACCTCATATTTAAACAATACTTCATGTTGGTCTGCTGCATAAAATTCCAATGAAATACTGTATATTGATATTTGCGGTTGTATTTCACCAAAACTGTGGAAAAGGTCAATTGAATATGTGTGCCTAAAAAAGGGGGTGTCTTGCATGATAAGATAAAGGAGGACATATTTTTCACTATGTTAAATTACCAACGGCAATTTGAAACAAAGGGTCGTTATTATATCAGAAGATTTGATCTTTTTTTTTCATCAATCGTTGCTCAGTACCGAGCTTTATTAAAAACTCAATTCACCTTGTTCGCTGACTACCTACCTAACACCCTGTACCTTTTTTAACTCAGCCCCTCTCCTCCCTTTGCACATTATTAATCAGCTGTGACGTTAAAGAGGCATGAGTCTTGTAGCAAAGGTGCAGGAGGAAGAAATGAATGTTCGTAGTTTTTAGTAAGAAATGGGAGCCAGAGAATTCGGGGAGAGCAGGAACTTGAAGTGGTGGTGGTGGGTTAATGGAGTATGCCGGCAGTGTGTGAGACGGTGCGTTTGGAAAGCAGCGGCAGGGCACAGTTTCTCCCATTACTTTAAGTAGCTGCCTCGACCAGCCTTGGCGGAGCAGCTTTGTAATGAAGTGCCTCAGCATCGGCCCTCTGTCGTTAGCTGAAAGTCACACAGCAGCTTCAGCTGGTGCTGACATGGCGCTTTTCCTACTACCGCCTTACGTCAGAAAACATTACCATATAGATGCTGCATCTCATTTAAGCCATGCTGTTGTTTTTACAGTACTGGAAAAAAAGAAGGGTCAAGCTTGAGTTACAGATTAGCAATGCTTCTCGTCGTTTCATTAAGAGTGTTATTGAAGTCCATGAAGCTGGTGGTCAAAAGGTATACAATAGGAGACAGCCTGGGATAAATGAGAACATATTAGAATGATAATGTGTCATGATTTTTTTCTTTCTAAAAGCCTTTTTCTCCAACCTTTGTGTACCTAAGCTTAATAGGATTCCGGCCCTCTCATTATATCAGCGCAGCCCAGTGCCATTAATTAACTGCCGTGTGGCTTTTTTGATCTGGATTTTTCATTTTCCATTTTGAGCCAAATCCATTCAACGGCAGCCTTCCATTCAGACTCCGGGAAGCCATGTCATCAGTCATAGATAATAAACTAGTAAATTATACCGAAGCTGCGATCTTTGATGTGTGAAAGATATGTTGTTTTTTTCAGGGTCGCCTTTCCTCTCTCTGCTGATGCACAGATGCAGCTCACCACACATTTCTGCATTGGGGTGTAACAGTGAGATAAATGAGCACCTCCTCTGCTTTCCCCCTTTGGTGTGATGGTATTACACTGTATTTATTTGTAACAAAATCATAGTTTTATATATATATATATATATATATATATATATATATATATATATATATATATATATATATATTATTTAAATAAAAATCAGAAAACTAAAGGCCTCATTGACAAAGCGGTAGGGGAAAAAAAATCATATATTGTGTAATGAATGAGAATCAAGGTTTGGCATCTGCCTCTATCTTAGCTTTATGATTTGGTGCATTTTCTACAATAAAATATTGTAGCAAAATTACCATAATATTATAAAGCAAATACAAAATATAAAGCAAAAATACATGTTTTTTAATGAGTAACCATGTAAATAAACTTCTTTACATGTGATTTTTATTTTTATTTATTTTTGTCAACATTAGAAGAATATCATCAAAGTTTTGCACACATTTTTGTAACTGAGAACCAGCCAGTGTTCCATGCTCCTTCATTGTGTTACGTTTCAAACGTTCCACAGTGGAACGCAGTGTTCCAAACATTAGTTCCACATAGTAATATTCTTGTTGTCTGTATATCAGACTTTTTTTTTGTAAGAATTCATTTTTACACCCAAAAAATCGATCTCTTTGAGTGTCAAGGGGTTACCTTCGAGTGAATGAGTCGATGCAATCAACTGGTTTCCTTAGATAGAAAACTTTGAATCAGTTTGAATGTATGATCTGGTGAACTGTAAAGTGCCTTGAGATTACATATATTTTGAATTGGTGCTATATATATAAACTGAATTGAAGAAAACAATAGAATCGTTTTAGCAGAATGACCTTTGATGTTTTATCCCGCTGTATGTTTTTCCAAATGATCCAAAGTTACACAGAAGTGCGTGGGCAAATCTAATTTATCAAGAGTTTTTATTTCCTTAAAGCATTCAGGCTTTCTTGAGTGTAATGAATACCAATTATATATGTTAAGCATTGCTAATTCTACTTATTTATACGGAATAATATTGTAAAATGCTGCCAACTATTCATATGGTGCAAGTCCCAATTGGTTGTTTATTTTAGTCTGATGCTATCTTTTGCTCATTAGCATTAATTAAATTTGAACCCACATGCTTTGGCTTGACCTAAATAAGACTGCTTGGATCTGGGTGGTAGAATCGATCAGGTTGCAAAACAGCAGATCGATAGAGCTCCACTCATCCCTGCCCCCAGCTGAGACACAGTAACATAAGTCACCTGGAAAACGGCCTGCAGATCCCATCATTAGCTGAGCGTTACACTTCCAACATTTGCTTTGGTGGCATCTGTTGTTTTCTGGCACATGCCCAGACACTGCTGTGAGGAGGCTTCAGGTGCTGTCAATGTTTGTGCTCCAGTTGTCGGGTAGATCTAGTGCCTAAATGAGTTCTTGATTATGTCAACTGAACCGCAAAGAAATTATTTTTTAAGCTGTTTTACCTGGTTTGGCACCAATGTCAGCACAACATGGAAGCAGCCAGATCTTGTTTTAAGGTTTTTTTTTTTTATTTCCAGTATATGCTGCCTTTTAAAATTATGCTCTTTTTGTACATACTCTCCCTACTCCTTTCTGAGGTTTGCTTCCCCTGAGTGACCATTTTCCCTTTTCACCTAGAGGTTAGGTTGCACCGGCTGGTAAATGATTTGTTTTTGCTTCATAAATGCCAGGGGTCAGCATCTTTATGTGGTGATGACTGACAGGAAACACTTGTACCTGTGTTCCGAGGGGTAACTGTGCAGAATGTTGATTGTTTTGCTGAGGAGGCTGAGCAATACATGATTGCAACCCATAAATAAAGTAAACACACTCTTACATATGTGTGCTGCAAAGTGAAATGGCAATGAAAAATAAAACACCTGTTGTGGGTTTTTTGCTTTACAGATACAGGTGGCTATCTTAAAACTGAAGTTGTGTTAAAATCTTATGAACAGTTACTGTAATATCTTACCTGAAGTGAGGTGTTGAGCCAGAATAAGGTTCTAATGTGATTTATTTTTCTAGAAGTTATTTCATTATTTACATCTACCTTTAGAATAAAAAAAAAAGCTAAATAAAACATAACTCTCTAATTGATCTTTAATATGAAAGTAATTTTACAGGTAAAAATATAAAATATTTACATGCTTAATTTAGCAAGCTCACAAATGCTTATTATACAAACTATTTACCCATTTTATCCATAATGCTTCTTCTAAATAAACAGTGTAAGGCAGGGGTCTTCACTGATCTGTTACATTTTTTTCCTTTACAAATTCTGTTTTACTAATTATTTAAAAACAATAAGGTGATAGCTTCAGTGGTATTGAGATAGGATCCCAGTTTTCATTTTTTAAATATTTTTTCAAAACAAATTGCACTAATTTTTACGGCTGTTTTTATCAGTTTTTCTTGAGTTCTAGTTCAGATTT